CCCACACACACACCCTCCCTGCTCCCTCCCTCTTTTCTTCTCCACGACGCCTTATCTGTTGGGAGATGCAAGGGAGTCCAGACGCCTCCCCGATCGATCTGGCCCTTCTTCCATTTATACTACAATTCACGCCAGCTTCCGCTCTCCGCCATTTGATCTGGAGGTGACTTACCGTGATCATCAAAGCTCAAGCTTATTTATCTACTCCTTCCTCCCTCTCTTCACCTCCTCCCCCCAGACCCCGTCGATCTTCTTCACTCCACCACCCCACTCCACCATTACTACTTATACTCTCGACGCGACCTGGTCACTCCACCATCAACACTCAATCTCATCTTCTCTCAACACCACTCCCATTGTGGCTCATCTTCAACCAAACACCTGGATCAACACACATTATCACAATGTATCCCTTTCTCCCTTGGAGTCAGAACCAATCGAGTGTGCGCTCCTCTTTGAGTGAGGCCACCACCAGCACCCAGAATGTCTCTTTCAGCTTCAGCTTTGGCAGCTCCTGCTCCGCCACGTCGATGCCGCCTCCTCCACCTCCTTCCCCCACCGACTCGCTCCTCGACATCACTCCGCGCAAGTGCTCCTTCTCCAGTGGCTATGAGATGAACAACTCGTGCGCATTCCCATCCTGGCCCAACCGACCGTCTCTGTTGAGCGCCGATTCGGAGGGTTCCACCGCTAGCGCCTACCTCTCTGACGAAGATCTCCTCCCCATGGGGTCGGGAGCCCCCTCGGAGAGCGCCATTGACGAAGAATCCGCGGCCCAGGACCCCACCATGGGCGACGGTGACTTGACGACCGAGCAGCAGATCCAGATGATTCGCGCCGCAGCGGAAGAAGAGGCGCAGCGCGCGCGTTTCCTGGCTCAGGTGCAGGCTCATGCCAGAGCGCAGCAGGCCATGCGGGTTGCACAGCTGGCCGCGGCAGAGCGCGAGAACGCAAAGCGCAAGAAGCGCAAGGCCGTCCCCGACAGGAAACGTCGGACCGCCTCAGCTTCTAAGGCCACGGCCTGCCGCGCTTAAGGGCCCGCAGCGCCGTGTCATTTCCTATTGTAACACCAGCACGTCAAACGCATCGTTTCGCGCATGTCATGATACCCCACGGCTTTCGTCACCCCACGCCGCCCATTTGGTCTGTTTTGCCGGAGATTAGGGCTGTCGAATGATCGGCGCCGATCGAGTTCAGCTCTCCTGCTTTGCCAGATGCGGCCCATCCGCCTATCCGGTTCTTTTCTTTTTCCATCTCAATTTCTCACCTTTCCTTCTTTTTCGGGGCAGCCACCGGGATGGTCGCCTACCCCAAGTCACAGCAGTCATCCCCCCCCCCCTGTCCCCCACGAAACATGACACCCACACACGGAGCTGGTCCCCGGGTGTTGGAACATCACCAGACGCGCCGGGCCTCGGGCATTCTCGAAGCAGGGCCGTCATGGGTCCGGGAGTTGAAGATGACGCCAGAGGGGGCCGCACGTGCAGTGGTTGGCTGAGGGGGCCGGTTACGCGCCGTAGCCGGGGCGGAATTGGCAGGCCGGAGTTCAACTCTCTGGCCTCTGATTTGGTGCCCGAGGCTGGCGGCCTGATTAGCTAATTTCCTGGTCGCTGTCGGCGCATTGATGGAAATGTCCTGCACGCCGGACAGGGCTCGATGGCCGGCCCTGAGCCTATCATTCTTCACAGGCTCACCGCCATTGTCAGGGCCTCTTTTCCTGCTTCTTTCCTGCTTCTTTCCGGACGGACGGTGACTCACCTCGGGTCATGGCACGCGCTTGGATACTCGGTCGTCCCTCCGTTTCCTTGCTTGGTCGTGAATCTCCGGTTTCTTTTCTTGACCTTGCCTTTTAATTATTATTTCCTCTTAATGTTGTCGTCGTCGTCGTCGTCGTCGTCGTCGTCTCATGCGTTGTCGCGCGGGTGTTGGGGTTCAGCAGTTCCAGCGGGTTTCCATTTACCATTTCGGGCGATTGTTTTGTTTTCTCGCGATTTCCGATCGCATGATTCGATTCCCCGTTTCTTTGTTTTTTTTTTCAGCGTCGGATGTTCAGATACCCCGTCTTGTATGCCATGTTGCCAGTTTCCTTGTTTCCCTTTGCTTCTCATACCCCGAGCGTGTTACACCGAACAGCTCCCGCGTTACTTTAGATGGATTGCATTTGCATAGCTCAGCGACATACCCCGGATTCATCAGCGATGGTTTCGTTAATTCATGATACCTTACCTAATACTTACGGATATCGATCACATCATTCTCCTTTACCATTATCGTAGTCCTCCGTACGAAGTAGCGAGATTGATCCTCCCGTGGAACGTAGAATGCCTGATCCATCCACCATCACGGCCATCCCGAACCCATCCCCTCCAGTTACCCCATATGTCAAATAAGTAGCGAAGATGAGGTGAGATTAGATTAATAATTTCCCCATCTCCACTGAACCCAACCTCAACTCCAGCTCCAACTCCAACTCCAACTCCGACCCCGACCTGATCCCAAGATGAACCCCGTAGCGATGAACTCTATATCGAGCAAGGATGATAATCGGATATTCCCGTATACATGCAGATGTGCATATACTAGTATCCTATGTATACTATATTCTGATTTAGATAGATAGATAGATAGATGGATAGATAGATGGTAATCCTCAGGGAGTCAGTCAGCTAGCCACTCACTCACTCACTCACTCACGGAGGTAGGTACTAGGTTTTTTCATCATATTGTAGTACTGTATGTAATGTAGTACTAGCACCCATCTTATGTACCGGTGACAATGACTCATAAGCAATGAGGGAAAGACAGAATCGGATAGTTTGTTGGCTTGTTGGGTGGTATTAGTCTTGTGATTGTGCAGTGTGATTGATTGGGAATGAGTTTGCCACCAGGGAGAGGGGGAAATGAGGGGGAGAGGGGAATAGACAGGGCAAAAGGAAGCTAATCTGGGCGGGGATAGAACTATCTAGACTATCTAGACTAGATCAGAGGGGATATCTGATGATCGGCGGGAGGTGCATAGAATAAGAAAAGAAAAGGAAAGATTGGGGCTGGGGTGATGGGATCTGACGTACGGAGCAGTTCAGTAGGAATGCGTGCTTTTGCGGGGGGTGAATGGGAGTATAAATGTGAAATCATCACGTGGAAGTGAATCAAAGATGGAAGGGGTAAGGAGAAACATTGAGGATGGATCTATCTAAGTATATAAGATAACCGTGCATACAAATGAAAGCAGATCTATAACCCCTTCATTAACAGCTCCTCGCCAATCTCCCGAATCAATGTCTCCTTGGATACTGCTTCTACGCTCTTCTTGGCCACAACCGCCTCCGCGATCCCCATGGCCTTGCAGAGATCGACCACCGCGCTGTCTGCAGGGGCCTCGTAGATGAGGAGCCCTAATGCGAAGAGCAGGCCGTGCAGCGCCTCCTGGCTCTCTTCTTCCTGAGTGATGGCTTCGACGAGTGACGCGGTCAGCTCGACTTGGTCTTCTTCGGTGAGGGGTTCGCGGTGGCCGGCAAAGCGCGCGTTGTGGTTGTGCGCGGAGAGGTTGTAGGCGAGAGAGGCGGCCACGACGCGGAGGTTGGTGTGCGAGTCGAGGAGGGAGGAGGTGGTGAGGTGGAGGAGCGTTTGGAGGAGTGTCTTGGCGGCCGGGGAGGGGGGAGACGAGGAGGTGAGTTGATCTCGATAGAGGGGGGTGGTGAAGAGGGTGCAGCATAGCTGGAGCATCACAATGCGGAGGTTGTAGGGGCAGGTGGAGAGGGAGGTGGATGGAGCGAGCAGAGTGAGGACGGTCTCGTGGTTGGGTTCTTCGGCAAAGTAGCCGGATACCCGGGGGTCGAGGAAAAGCAGTCGAGTCAGGTCGATGAGGGCGAATTGGTTCTCCAAAGGAAGGGAACGGGAGGTAGTTTGGAGGTAGTTGGCAAAAGAAGGGAGGCTTTCGGGCAAGGGAATGTCTGCTGCTGGCGCAGAGGCACGCTGTTTGAGGAATGCAATGATGGCGACCAGGCGCTGGTCTTCGTGGTGAGGGTGTAATTTCTGGATGAGCTTGTCGAGAGGCGGGACCTTTTTGTAGGTGACATAGTTGGTAATCGCACGTTGGAGACTAGGAAGACGGAGTTGTTGGTGCCGATGGGGAGGATGTGCCATCTCGAGGAGCAGACGGACGTTGCCACGCAGTTGGGATGGATTGGCGCCAACCCATTCGTCCAGCTTCTGGCCTTTGAGGAAGCTGTAGAAGGTGGGGGTAGAACGGATACCGTATTTCATGCTCACGTCCATGGCCGTGCTAATGTCCACTTTGATGAGAGTAGCTTTGGCACTGGCCTCTTCCGCGAGCTCGTCGTACACCGGGTAGACCATCTTGCAGGGCGGGCAAGTGGCCGAGGTGAAGAAGACGACGGCGCAGGAGTCGGCCGCGGCGGCGAGGTATTGCTCGAGCTGGGCCAGGTTACGTGCCATTCGCACGGTGCCTGGAGTAACCGGGGCAGGTGGTGCAGGGGCGGTTGGTGCGCTGGTGGCGGGCGTTTGAGCACCGACAGTGCCAGTGCCTTGGGTTACACCGCGCAGGGCCATTTCGATCTGGGGCTTCATCATTTGACCGAAGGGGGTGCTCAAGAAGGTCTGCGGCAGGTTCTGGATGTGCTCGGGGATGCCTTTGCCAAGCGCAAACATGGCCAAGTCCTGCGTGAAGTTGTTGCAGTTGTGCAGAAAGAGGTCGTAGGACTGGATGCCTTTAAATATCTGGTCTGGTCTGGTCGGTGGGAGGGCACGTCCGACATACCTCGGGGGTGTAGATCTCGGCGAGGGACTGGATGTACTCTTCCACCACATCCATGGGCAGCTCCGTCTTGCCCAGATGCAGCTTCTCCATGGGTTCCCCATGATGCGTACTGCCGGGGATGGCTGTCTGGATGCCTTGGCCAAAGTAATACTCCACGCCGTTCAGCACCAGCGACGTGTGATAGATCGCATCGATTTGGGTTCCCGTGAGGGCCAGCGAGTACTACTCGACGTTAAACACAGGCAACATTGCCATGGAAGATCATGTCTTACCATCCGCGCAAGACCCTGTTCAGCATTAGCCGGATTTCTAGACTGTACCACCAGAGGTAAATCACCTTGGACAGGTCATAGACGTACAGCTCGACATCCATGATGGCTAGAACAACACTACTAGATTCGCGAAACCACCAAGGCTATCTGCAGAGAAAATCAAAACCCCAGCTCAAGAATACAGGAGAATTCAAGACCATAAATGAAGACGGAACGCGGCCAGGCAATCGCCCGTTTACGTCAGCCACCTCACATCACGGGGTTGACAATCGAAGACAATGGAAGCCTCCCTCTCACAATCATCTTCTGAATGTTTCACTCCAATCGCCATTCCCTCCCAGCTACCTTCCCATCCGGGTCCCGTTGTGCGATGTGAACCGCGCGACCTTCCCGCGATCGCAATCCTCATCCCATGGCTTTCTCGCCCCCGCGCCTGACCTCCATCCATCCCCATTCCCATCCCCTCCACCCTTGACATCCATCACCATTTGCGACAAGTCACGACAATTCACCAAAACCACTCAACCACCATCATGGTAAGTCCCATACACCCCTGCCCTCTATCACCAACCAACCAAATCATCAACCAACTAACTCCATCCAATCCAGCCCCCCAAAAAACGCACCGCCACAAGCCACCCCCCCTCATCCTCGGCCCCCAAACGAGCCCGCCCATCCAAACTCGCCAAAGAAAACGACATCAGCGCCGAAGAAGAAAACGAAATCAAAGAAGTCTTCCACCTATTCTCGGAGACCGTCAATGAATTCGCAGACGAGAAGGAAGGCGTGATTCCTCGGGAGGATGTACGGAAGGCGTTGGTGTATGTCCTCATCCTCCCTCCAAACCCATTCATCTACATGTGTTCGCGCGCAGTCATACTAAAATACGGTTGTGATAGAGCCCTCGGCCTCGACCCCTCCTCCTCCGAAGAACTCCACTCCATCATCGAGGCCATCGACCCCACGGATACCGGGTACGTGCCCTACGAGCCGTTTTTGACCGTCGCGGCGGCGAAATTGAGGTCTCGGTCGGAGGAGGCCGTCTCGGCGGAGGTGGATGGCGCGTATCGGTTGTTTACGAGGGGTTCCGGGGGGCTGATTACGTTTAATCATTTGCGGCGCATTGCGCGCGAGCTCAAGGAGGATGCGCTGGGGGATGAATTGCTCAAGGATATGATTTTGGAGGCGAATGGGGGGGCCGGGGTTAATGCGGGGGTTACGTTGGAGCAGTTTCAGGAGGTGATGCAGCGGGCGGGGGTTTTTTGAGGGTTGAATACGGAGTACTTACTGGGTTTGCGGTTCAGCGGGCGTTGATGGGTTTCTATCTATGGGTGGTGTTACTTGGGATGGAATAGGACAAAGGTGTGCTTGGTATAATGGGTTACATAACGATAAGCTCGCTGGTCGGAATCGACACGAAGTACATGCCATGCAATGTTATACAAATGCTGCCCTCCTGTCCAAGCCGTTGACGGCGTGAGGATACAGAAGGGAAGCATAGAACAAAAGCTAATGTAAACGCCTTCTAATGAGTCGCACTCGGGGGTATCATAAATGCTGATATACACAATCTGGCGGAAGGTCCGTGATGAGGCATACGCGTCAGTCAACGTCCGACATGAGAAGCGGCTTTTCGCCGCGAGGCTCGACTTTCAGTGCAGCTGAAATGCTGGCTGCTGGGGATACATCGGAGGTGGTGGAATCGGCGGTAGCAGATGTAGACGCATTCTCCGATGGCGTATAGCTGGTGGTAGACACGGAGCTTTCATCCGACCCATACTCAGCATCCTCCGCAGCCTCGGAATCTGCAGCTTCGTAGAAGAGCATGAAAGCACCGCCCTGCGACATGACGTTCGCTTCGCTGACCATCTGCACATCCTCATCACTTAATCGGTACCAACGCTCAGTCCTTTCCTTTTCACCGTCTGCCTCCACGACGGCGTCCGGCACGTGGGCCGGGAAGGTCTCGGTGGAATACTTTCGGTAACAGATGTAATGGCCATTCTCATGGCGCCCATAGTGGGTGACGACGGCTCGCAATTGATAGTGGCGGCCGGTACTCGCGCCTCTTCCTGCATGCGAGAGCATCGACACACTAGGATTAGTCTCCCATGCTTCTAGGCCTTGTTCGGTTTCATTGGAAACACCGCCTAAGGACCATTGGTTCAAGTTAAGGGCCTTCGGGAACTTGACAGCCGCGTAATTTTTCCGGAGCATCCCGGTAGTTTCGTCGAACAGACTCCGGTTGACGTGAATAACAAGGCACTCGGGAGGTCGAGCAATAACAGCCTGTCGCGATTTCGTCGTTGACACTCTGCTCTTTCCAGGGATATGGCACTTCTGTGAAAGCGTCTTCTCCGCGAAATCCTCCTCGGTCAAGGCTTGCTCAACCGCCTGTAGGCGCTCTTGCGCCGAGCTCCGGAGTGCATCTGATATCTTGGGCGAATCAGTGGTTGCACTCGGAGTCGCCTCATCGTCATCAATCTGTTTGAGAAGATTCGAGAGTTGAGTCTGCGCACGCAACAAGGTGCACTTGGCACATTCCACCCCCTCAATAGGCTCCAGGTGCATATAGTGATGCAGACATTCTCGGATATCGTACTCAAACTTCGGCCCGAGCGGCACAGTCAAGCAGTTGAACGGAATGAGGGAAAGACCCTCCGTCCAACCACACTGAATGCAGCCCACCCTTTGCGCAAGGAGGCCTTCCAACGGATTCCGGAAAACCTGGTTACCGGTTGTTTGTGGTTCGGAGGCAGTATCGCCGTGTATCTCCTGCCTTGGAGCGGATCCAATAACATGCTCCTGCGGCCCTGCCATCTTCAAGCCCAAGTTGCGAGTGTGTCGCCGAGTCGCCTGCTGCACTTCGAGATCCAACTGATCAACAACCTTGGAGAAGTATTCCTGTGCATCCTGCTGTTGCCAACTGCTCATAGACTTGAGATCCGCCGGAGTCCACAGACGCTGGCCATAACTGTCCGCGCTGTTCAGTCGCTCAATAATGTCCCTCAAGGCTTGATGCGTGGAAAGAAGGACCTTTTGCCCTAACTGATCAACGTTACGCCCCAAAAAAGCTTCTAGCGACTGGAGCGATGCCAGCCCTTGAATAATGCTATTCTGATAGCATGAATTATCCCAATTTCCCAGACCAGGCGGTACGTTGTTCTTGCTGCTCAGTAGGGAAGTGCCGAAGCCTGGGAACGCCGGGGTGCGAGGAAGGAAGGAGGAGAACGAGGTGTCATCTAGGCCGAAAATCCGTCGCATCGCTTCGCTTTTGCCCTCAAAAGTCATCGAAAGGGGATCTTCGTCGGTACTATCAGATTTCGGGGCCTTGGAATCTAGGGCGGCAACTAGTCGTGAAGGTGTCAAGTAGACAACGAGATTCCAAATAATCCGAGCCAACGACAACGAGACTAGCCCCAAGTACCTTAGCCCGAGGAATACCGTGATGACCGTGACGAAGATATAGGCGACTAGATGGGGGTTGTCCTGCAGATGCTGCAGTACTCGATCATAGTTGCTGTACTGCACGCGGAAGGGATTCGGAGTGAGGAAGTCAATCCCCTCTCTGCGAGCATTCATGGCTGATGGAAAGGAGGAAACGACCACGGCATAGGGACGAGGAAGTGGACATCACTTGGCAGGCCGGAAGTTGTGAGGAAAAGGCCCTGACAAGGTGACGGAATGGATCTATGCCGCCGCTGCTTCGCCGCCGAAGAAGCAACCGCCCAGTGCGCAATGGGTCTCTCCCGCCACCCGGAAAAGTTTTATCGATAGGCCCGTCTCCACAACAAATTATTCAACTGCGGGCATACAGTAGCACTGATTTTCCCGGCATCTATCATGGCGAAATCTAGGCGTGAGTAGAGAGATCTGTTTGGACAAAAAGAACGGCTGCGATGCTAACATTACGTGCCCAGCCCAGTCAAAGCACTCCCGCGCTGCGAGGCGGGCAGCTTCGCCGAGTCTCGAAGTCGACAAGTCCATCACCTCTCTGCCGCGGGCTCAGGAAACTACAGTACAACGCGAGTCGATTCTTTCGGAACGCGCAAATGCCGGCATCACGAAGAAGCAATCAAAGAGCAAGGCCAAAACTAGAGCACAGCGCTTGAGACAACAGAAGGGTGTGGAAAGAGCAGAGGCGGTGGTTGATCAGATGGAAAAGAAGGTCACCAAAAGTGTTGGCCGAGCCAAGGCTGTCAAGGCTCGTAGGGTATGAGCGCAGGTCCCTATCCATGGTCATTGATCAAATGTTCTGACGAAACGTGTCTAGGCCGACTGGGAGGATCTGAACCGGAAATCGAAGAGCATGTTCCAAGCCCTCAACGACGAGGCGGAGGATGATATGGATGATGATATGATGGCCGATGCGGCCCCCTCGAAGCCAGCGAAACGAGTAACGAAGCCGGCCGCCGTTGCTCAGAATCCCGTCGTGGATGAGCACGCAGGCATTGACATGGACGATATTATCACCTGATCCGTGGACAACTGCTTTGCAAGGGAAATACCGCCAAGGTTGCGCCCGCCCTCTACTTCCTTGGTTTAAGCTGGTTGATCATCCGATCAATCTCAGCGGCGGCTGGTCCCGAAGCCCTCGCCTGGAGGAGCTCAAGGGCGTTGACATTCTTTGCCCGGAAGGCTTCTTCGCCGGCTTTCACAATCATTCCACATTTTACCCACATTTCCATCTTGTCATCGGCGGACAGATTGGCGCATTTGGGGACAAACAAGGAAGCAAGCTTGGTGTTGCCAGCACCCAGAATCTCGTTATAAAATGGCTGTTATTTATCTGTGAGCATGCGGGCGCATATCCTGGGGTTGTTGGCCAGCTTACCTCCCAACCGATCGGGGACTTTTTGTTCTTTCCGATCTCTTCCAGCTCACCCCAGTCGCGCTTCGCTACCAAGGCCCTTAATCTCAACCACCAGAAGGTTTTTTCTGGCATTCGGAATTCACTCTGTATCTTCTGCGCTCTTTTGCCGTAGCCCGATCGGATCAATCTGTAGACTGTCTCGTTCAAGCTGAGGCCCAGGAATTCCGACCGATCCGCGAGGTCTTTATCGAGAGCCTCCTGGACCTTCAACAGTTGCGAGGCTTCAGAAAGTAGTTTTTGCTGCAGCACCACCGATGGATCTTTCGAGTCCGACAATAGACGCGAGGCGAGCTGGAGCTTTTCCATCTTATTCGGCAGCTTCGTCTCATCCAACGCCTCTGCAAGGAGGACATTGGAACCATCGATAGGGCGATCGTCCTGGTAGAATAAATCCTTCAGCAGCTCGGTATCCTGTCCTCGAGCCGTCGTCTCCACCAGGGCCGATGCCATCGGGCGAGTATTGATTGTTTTGAAGAAACTAGACAGGGGAAGCTTAGCCTTCAGTTGCAAAAGGACATAGTTCACTAGATCCACATCTCCGCTCTCAATGGCTTTGTCCAGGGCAATCTCATCTTCTTCCATATTCAGTAACAATGGTACCTGCTTCCCAGCCCGTGGCTCGTGGTTCAGCAGCTGGGTTGCTAGAGGAGCGCGCCCTTCATCGTAAGCGGTTTGCGCGATCAACTCAAACGAGATTCCGGGTTTGCCTTCTAGTCGCTGGACAATGAGCTTGCAAACCGCGTCATCGTCTACTGTGGAAACTTTGACCTTCTGGCTGGCCCAGTGAACGTATATCCTATCAGCAGGCAGTTCGAGATATTCGGAGATGCGGATGGCAAGGAAGTATTCGCGCCGGTTCACTAGGCGCTCAATAAGCCTCTCGGGTGTGAGGCGCATATATTGCTCGTAGGAGAGTGGCAACCCGATCTGATAGTCCCTCACTGCTTTCAGCACACGAAGCTTCTCAGTCATTTCGACGAATTCGTCGCTGTTATACAAGTCGAGGACAGATTTCCCGAAGGAGGCTGCCTTCAGCAAGCGCTTCTGCCAATACGTATCAAATTCATGACCAGCAGCTTTGACACATGTATCTACCGCCTCGGGCAAGCTGGGCCGGATACGTTGAATATTTTCGTCGGCTTTAGGCGACTTCTTCTCCAACAGGTCTATGGAGTCCAGGAGAACAGAGGCAGGTGACGTTGACCCAAGTCGGAAGATCGCCTCAGTTACATCTTTAGGCCGTTAGGAGTCGACTCCAACTGATTGCGAGTACTTACCAACAACTTTGTGTAGAAATTCGCAGGTATCATTGGTGATGAGGCGCACGCCGTCAAATTCTGGCACGACGTGGACGGTGCCATCGTAGTAATATCTCGCAGCAACACCATTAGGCCCAATCAGATGTACCTCGTCCTCCCATGCGATGACGACGGCATCATCTCCGCACCAATCAACCGTCCTCGGAGTGACGCGGGACTCTGGGTCATACTCGCTGTACTTGCTCTGAAAGTCACTGCTGACTACCCATACCTTCCCTTCGGAAGTAATGAGCGCAACAAATCGACCGGTTGGTGACACGCTTGCATGCTTGAAAGGCCCGTTCTGAAGGACTTTATCTTCCGCTTCCGTCGGGTCGACCAAGTAAATGGTCTTGTCAACGGAGAGCAACACCTCGACTGAACGAGACAACGTATAGGCTGGCGGTATCAGAGACCATGACGAGACCTCTCCTTCCGGGCAAGGAGCCAGAAGCCTAGGTCTCGGCTCGTCGTAATTCGATACTGCAACCAACTGATTGTTTGAAAGCAAAGCGACAAAGCCCGAGGTCCAGAATCGGCAGGCCCTCACTCCATAGTCTTCAGCCCCCTATGCTAGGTCAGTATCAGCACAAACCCTCTGGGTAAAGGCTTACATTTCCTAGAGAAAAGGAAGTAAAATCGCCATAAAGGCCGAAATAGCGCCTCACGGTGCCGTCTTCCGTGATTACCAAGAGTTCTTCCTTGTCGGACCAGCCGAGCCCACGAATCGTGCCAAACTCCCACTGAGGATGTTAGCATGTAGGCCACATTCAAGATAGTCCACTCACATTAAGCCGATTGATGTGCTTCCCGGAGCACGAGTAGATGTCAATGCTCGATTTGGCGGTCTGAGCATCGCGGAATCTGTACGGTTTACTCTCATCGCGGTGCAGTGCTGGTAGCGATGTCAGTAAACGCTGGGCCAGGTGATTGATCGAACTATCTCATACCAATAGCCCCTCCATAGGGAGCGCCGGCAATGATGTAGTTCTCTAATTCGACATCCTCGTCAAAGACAGCATCATATATAGGGACTTTCCGATAGAAGCTATCTCCGAGCCTCTCCCAATTGGCCAGCGGGTTTGACGGCGCCATTTCTACCAGCAATGACCTGCACAGAGGGACGTGAAACAAGCGATGGAGACAAAGCTGGGATAAGACCCTCCTGGCGCATGTTGTCTATCGGGAAGCTCCAGCTCACCTGGGACCATCTCCGGCACTAACCGCATTGGGGCTTTAGTGCCTGAGGTGGCCCGGCCTTGTATCGCCGTACCGTCTCATTCATCCATCCAGGCACAACCAGGTGCGACCAAGATGCTTGATGCAGGGAACTACGATGGAGGATAATTCGGAGATTCCGGGTCTTGCTTTGGAGCTGTCAGATCTTGAAGTTGCTCTCTTTCTATGTCTTGCGGCCCACGAACACTGCCGTATTGACACCACCGACGCCAACATCCATGACGTCGCAAAGGAGCTCGCCCTGGTATTTGATCCCGTGATTGTTCTCGACCCCTGCTAACAAACTAGATATGCACCAACACATTCGGGCTCTCCTACAGTATCTTGGATTGCTCCAGCGCGACGTCCTTTGACGATTTTTGCGCCGAATTACTCCCTCCCGAAACACTCAGGAGCAGCAATGTTCGTCCATCACGTTCCCGGATGACCACCGAATCGGTATGCTTTGCTGTCACCTCACCGATATGATGTAGCTAACACTCCAAGTCTGGCACGATATCCTCACTCCAAGATCTCAAAGGTCGCTTCAGATCGTATACCTCTGAGCATAAACAGGAGGTCGTCAATGTCGTGATCGCCAAGAACTTTAACCATGCGAACGACAACATCCAGCGTGAAGCTCTCGAGGTCAGTTGCAAGCATTAGTCAAGATAGCTGTATTGACCTCTTGCGACAGTTGATGCACTCGAAGCAACTCACTACGCAAACTGGCGTCTTAGAAGCACCAGCCACTTTCATCTTCCTGCCTCTGATCGTGCGCGACACAGAGCAGGACCAACCACTAGACCCTCATTTAGTATGTTTACTACCCTAGTTTATATGCTCCATAAAGCTAACACCATCAGAACGATTACATTTTCATATCACACTTTCACGACACCACCGACGGCTACGTCTATCTGGAAGACACCAACGACTGGCTTTCCGACGGCCAAATGTCCGCCTCTTCCGTCATCCACAAACCAGAGGCTCAGACTAAGAAGAGCCATCCGAATATAGACCGCGAGGTAAACCCCCTGCTCCCTTCGCTTTCCTGATCATCACTAACACAAGTAGCTTCTCGACAAACTTCACCAATTAAGCAAGAACGTGCGTGTCGGCGCCGACATAACCCGGTACCAACAAGACATTGTCGTCTTCCTTCGACTCAGTCGCGCCGTGTCGGGGGGTATCTCTACACGGTCGAATAAACATTTCAAGTTGTTTTCCACGTGTGTCAATCCTTACCCCCATGGAACGAAACGGCAACTGACATGACACAATAGACTCCTCGCCGTATTACACGGAATCGACTATCTCACACCATCGATTGTAGCCCTCGCGGCAAAGAAAGTCTTCCGACACCGGATCATCGTAGCGAAACCTGAAGAGGATCGAAGCTTACAGTACGGAAGTGATCTGGCAGCCGTATCCCAGGTCCTGGAGTACGCGAATCCGGATTCCATCTTGGACGGCGTACTTACACTGGAAGCGCCTCTGTGATCATTTTACTCCTCTTTTGCGAACTCCTGTACAAGCAATATCCTAATTACAGTATAGTAAAGTATAGTATATACAAGGATGAATAAACCATCCAACCAGCCTCCCCTCCCCATTCTCGGCACTTCATCCCCACTAACCCTCCCAATAAACCCACCCCTACATCAACATGAGGAAGAAGAAGAAGAGGAAGAAGAAGAAGAAGAAGAAATCTAATCCAACAACCCCTCCACAACCCTAACAACCTCCTCCAACAAATCAAAAACCCCATCTAGAATCGTCCCCAACAGACCCGTAACAAAACTAACCAAACACTCAAGCGTATCCACCAACTGATCCAATACATCATTCAAGTTGCAGTCGCAATCATCATCATCATCATCATCATCATCATCGCTTCTCTTAACATCTGAGCCCGGTCCAGATGTAGTCTCGTCCGAGCAATTACCCAACCGTCCGTAAATCTTCTCCTGGGATGAAGCGAGAAGGGCTTGGATGGATTGGAGTTTGGTTGTTGATCTGGTGGTTGTGGTGGATGTTCCGTTTGAGAGGGTGTTGGTGGTTGGTTGGGTTTGGGTGGAGAGTTTTTCGAGGAGAGGGGAGACGCGGTGGATGGTGGTGTTGAGGCGGTTGAGGCTGTGGCAGGATTGCAGGGTGGAGCTGGATAAGGCGGTTGCGAGGGGGAGAAGGGTGGAGATGAAGAGGAGGAGGATTGGGAGGAGGTTCATTTTGCTTTAGTTGTGGTGCCACGGTATTAATTAAGAAATACTGGTTGATGGAGTTATTGAGAAAGTTGTAGAAGGGATTGATTTGGAGGAATCGAAATGGCTTATATGTCCATGATATTGAAGTATGCAAAAGCGGAGCTATCCAGACAAAAACAGAAAATACAAACTTGATATGTCGACGGCGTTGGATTGGCCGAACAATCATCCGACTGTCTAAATGGAGATATCCCCTGACGATCACCATGAGGAAAAAGATCCCTAGATAATCGCCAGAGTGCTTGACAGGCTCATGGCGCGTCGATCTCTTGTAACCGAGATGTCCTAATGCCATAGTTCCTGTTAGCGACGCGAGATCTGCCAGATCTCCACCTCTTCACGCTGATGGGTCTCCACCATGGCCAGTTTCTGCGACAAAATAAGCAAAAATAGCTACTTATCGCCTCGCCCGATTCTTCAGGAACATGTCGGGCTGTATGAATTTGCTCTCCTTGACTTCCTCGACGCCGGTGGAAATCAAACCGTTGCCGAGGTTCTGATCGCCGTGGTCCGTTCCCAGGCCCGACTCGAGCGATGTCATCAGTCTTCGCCATTCGGCGAGTACAACTTCAATTTCGGTCTTGGCGTCGCCAACGATGGCGTCCATTTTGATGTCATTGCGGTCGTATCCGAAGGGGTCTTCCAGTTGGGAACCGATGCCTTCGATGCCGTACAGGGTGAAAATGACTAGACTGACCATAGGAACGGTCCACCATCCCATGTCGTCGACCATGCCGAAGGGTAAGACGCAGCCAAAGAGGGCAAGGACTTGCTTTTGGTGGATTCTTGAAAATGTGAGCTCGCGTCGGGATAGTCAGGGGATAGGAGCGAATGTCCGCTGTGACTAGAATAGTGGGGGTACACTTACAGATGCGCAACCGGCATAGGGGTCAGCTTGATCGTCTCCATCCTTCCATAGGCATCCGTCAAAGTGTTCAATTGGGCCTGCATTTGGCTTGCCCCAGGAGCGTTGAACCAGCCGCGTTCCACGCCTCTCTTGATGAACCCATCCACGAAGAACGTCAGTTGGTATGGTAGTCCCAACCCCTCATCCTCGTGGCCCACCAGTCCAGTTGGAAGTAGACTTGCATAATCTGGATTGAATGCCGCGACACCGTTCTCGGCTACATCACTCCCCAACGCCCAAGCTGCTCCCCATTCAGCGCGGAGGTGATTCTTGACTGCGAAGGGAATCGCCAAGAGGATTCGTATCGTCCGCTCGATATCCTCCTTTTCTGCAGCAGTGGGAGGACCGGCGGTGCTGTAACCATTCGTGACGATAGTCCTAACGAGATTGCGGATGCACGTGTAGATCGTGTTCATTCCGTTACGTCCATCCCAGAACCTGTTGTAAGAAGTCTGGTTTCGGAAAACGAGCATCAAACCCACGACTATAGACAAGGATGGGATCTACGGTTGCATGATCAGATTTGAATGCATAATAACACACCACCTGAAGGCACCTACAATACTGCTTGGCAGTCCAACAGTATCAAAGACGTATTGGTCAAGCCAGACAACAAAAGCCGTGAACGCGGCGTGTAGGAAGACGGGCAGCAGTATGGCCGCATGGATAGCGCCTTTGATGAATCGGAAAACCAAGGGCCATCTATCGATACATATTTAGCTTTAAGCCGTAGCATGCCTAGTTTCAATAATCAGGTCATTCACCTTCGAGGCTTGCTTCGACTTGTCAGCAGATGCGGGTGCGTCCCTGAGCGATAATGATTGGCATTGGCGAGAAAGGTGGTGTTTTGACGGCTGAGCGCCGGTGTAGGGGGTTGACTGAAATTCAGCCGCATATTTGCATCTGATTAAATGTATATGACTGGGGAAACTGAAGTGACAGTTGACGCAGGCTTTGGGAAAGAATGAAAGAATTTGCGTCTAGCGGTCAACAAGCCGTCCGCTTTGTCAAACTTGGGTTAGTTGCTTAGTCGAGGTGGAACGATAGGCAGCTGGCAGCTCGGCAGTCCTCCTGGGCACCTGGCTAACAAGCCATATCTACGAGTCGCCTTTCAGATGGTGCATTCAAGGGAGATAAGGAGTGGAATTCTCAGACGGGGCTTGGGGCAAGTCGCGGGGGATCAACAATCGGCAGATGCTGTGGTTGGTGAATCCCGTCTTCGCTGGTCTGCCACGCCAGAACTCTAATCCTTCTCATCTCTCGATTTCTTGTGGCCAGGTTGATTTCCACGTAATTTGATCTAGTTTGACCACGATGAGAAGTTCAGCTTGATCAGAAGACATGGGTTTAACAGACCCACCTAGAGTGCTGTCAGCCCATCGGACGGCTTATATATGTTTGGTGGTGATGATCATGCCATGTTGCTGCAGAGGCAACCTCATAGTACAGTGTAGATGGCCCATAATGTTGCCAGAACGCTTTAGCTAAGATGCTCCCCTTTAACAAAGCTGGCCATAGGCTTGCCACGACGGGATGATGTGCCATTTGAAGGGGAATTCGGAATATCTCGTGGCTGTTATTGCCATCTTGGGTGGAAGGCGGTCAAGGATCGCCGTCCCCTCCTTGTCGAAGTCTCTCAACCTCGCTGCTCTCGCTGCTCTCTTTTCATCTCTTTGTATTCCATTTACTTATGTCGTTTGCACTCTGACACAGATCACTGAGATTGTGGTCGTCCTAGAGAATAATAGCTTGACCATTGCGCATACAGGTCTCCGTGAACCACTACCATCATGGAAGACCATCAAGGCGGCAGATCTGTGGACGCAAGTAGAGCACTGGAGTTAGTGCCAGTGCATCCAGTGTTGTTCCGCAGTAGCCCATCTAGGGTACTTCCATAGGTGAGTCAATGACTGGATGCCTGGGCTGTCTCGGGCCTTGGCTTGGAAACCCTCGTTTTCTCTTATTGGGAAATTTGAAGACACTGGGGTTCGAGAACTGTATGGTCTTACACACTATTGTCGACTCGAGGACATATCTTCTACATCAGACGGCCAGGGAGTTACTGGTGTACAAAGAGGGTGAGAGTCTGCCAAAGCTAGCCTTAAGTGGAACCCCTTCGTCTAACCTTCATGTTTCAGAGTGGATATTGGCGGACGCTTGCGTGCGGTTTCTCCATTCTACAGACCCTCTGATGCCCCCCAAAGACCGAGCAGCTTTTGTAAGCGAGTTTGACCGGACTTTATCCTCGTGTACTCCGCTACAAAGTGAAACACGCATGTCTTATTATCGACTTCGAGTCTTGAAGACGACGTAACAGTACGCTCCCGGATATGGACATCCTTCATCGTGGGAATAGCTTCTGCCTCTGGTTCAACTATGATGCAGCATTATTGCTTAGCTTTATCACCTCCACTCCTTTAATGCGAGCATCTCGGCTGGGACAGCGAAGCGCTGTCAGAAGATACAACGAGAAAAAACATCGACTCCAACTCTCGAAGCATCCGTGCATGCTCGGCCTTATCCCTTGCAGCACAATATGGAAATGATAGTGTACTGAACTCTTGCTTGGAAGGAGTCGCACTCGGACTCTCTTTCTCCGATCGGCCCAGTAAGTGGAAGCAAATGCAGAGGATGGGACACTCATCATGGAGACCTTGTCAAATTCTGCTAAGCCCGTGGGTCCAATCCGAATCTGCAAGATAGTCTAGGATTGACTTTTGTTGCTCGGGCAGCATATCATGGCCATAAGCATCACGCAATTATAGCAAGGTCGTTGTATGCAACTAAGAAGGATGGCGATCAACTGGACGAAGAGGGACTCGGATCTGAAACCTCACTCGGGTATCACCTTTCCGGCCAACACTCAAATATATTGCGAAACAGATGGCGTAGGGCCAGAAAACCGTACTCTCGATGAGGATGTCTGAATACCTTTGTGAAACCAACCTCATACCGGCACAACATGCCAAGTAGGTCTCCCAGATCATTGACTGCTATGGCTGGGAAAGCGGGGCTGAGGTCTAGACCCGAGATTCAGCTCTCTAGACCTCAGCCTAGCTGGGACTGCTCGTCTTCTGCGCTGGAGCATTCACGATATCCGTGATGTTTAATCCTCTTGGCCAATTAAGTTCCTTGTGCCGTCTCTGCTACTCCTCACCTCGGCAATAATGAAGGGTACGTGCAAGCCTGAAGTTGGATGAAACCTATCCAGATATGTTAAGACTTGTTTGAGCAGTCCTAAGTACCAAGTCAAACCCGGGAAGTCAATTCAGCAATCCACCAAGTCAGTGACGCCGGAGGAAGACGTGATACATCCTTTCATCATACAATGTATGACTTTTGGTCCTCCAGGAAATATGGGATGGGCAAATTATGGACCCAACAGCCCCTTACGTTTCCAGCCATTCAAGGATTCATGCCATACCGAAGGGAAGCAAAATCTCAGGAACCGGGCCAGGGACCTGGCCAGGGACCTTTCTAGATGATTCCCTCATTCAACTACACTGGAATATCATCATCGTATTATGGGCTGAACTTCACCCTTGATGATGCAACCTTGGTGAGCGGCCCGTATAGTATCAAAACGGCAGGGATGGGCTCCCGTCCATGGAATCGCGTGCCGCTGTTTGGGTCGGGTCAATCAGTGATGTAAGACGGCACGATCACGGACTATACGGTTCCCACAACGCACTCACTGTGTTACTGCATATTGATGAGGCCACACCGGTCGATACGAGAACAAGCCACCGAGTAAGAGTACCTCAGAGAAACATGACTTCTTTGTATATTCACAATCTTCCCAACCCCAGAAGGATCGGGGATGAATGATGGAGGGCGAAGACGGGCGATGATTAGATCGCGGGCCATTGGCCCCGCTGCAGGTGGGCCTTGGCAGTGGGTTTTTCCACCCCTGACCCCGCAAAATTCACTTCTACGCCAATCACTGTCCGGCCTCAAGGCTTGGCCGACGACATTGAGTTGACTGGGCTGAGGTCATGGCTGTCAGGATCGGCAATGGCCTCGCTGCATGCTCGACACTCGACTCTCTACCGGGTTAGCAACAAGATTCTCCATATCCCCAAAGAATGGCTACGGGAACAAAAATAGACAGCTCCAAATGTGGCTCATGCGGAGCCACATCACCACGATCCCCGGCTAGCAACGATCGACATCGATGGAAACTGTCCCTGGCGCTCTAGATGCCTGCCGCGAAATCATCGCTGCTTTAGGTCTAAGTACATGAGCACATCTGAACGTCATCCCATGTGCCGCTCAGTGAATTGCCAACGAGTGTACTGCACCAGGGCACGTCGTGAGGGAATGCTCGCAGTGTCACCAATGCCAGTCTCGAGTCTACGTAGGGCTACGTCATGGCCATACCTTTTCTTTCAAGAGACCTTATATAAACCCAGCCAGTCGTCGATGAACCTGAGCAACTCATCAAACACAACAACTGTCTTATCATCACCAGTCTCACAAAGACCATCGATCTATCCAAACTTATCTTTTCATATCTACACCAACACTACTGCCCATCATGTCCGGAATCATGCACAAGGTCAAGGATGCCATGACTGGCCACCACAGCCAGTCCAGCAACACCTCGTCCTCCAACGCCGGTCCCCACTCCTCTAACATGGCCAACAAGGTTGACCCCCGCGTCGACAGCGATCGTGGTAAGCTTATCCATCAGTCCTGTTCTTCCACGAACACATACTAATGTCTTCAAAGACAACCGCGCCCGCCACGAAGCTATGGGTGGTGCTCACGGCCCCCACGACTCCAGCATGGCCAACAAGATGGACCCCCGTGTCGACAGTGACCGCGACAACCGCGCCCACCCCTCCGGCGGCATGGGCGGTGCTGGCACTGGTGGCGCCTACACCTCCGGCGGAGCCTACGGCGGCAGCGGCAACGCCGGTCCTCACGGCTCCAGCACGGCTAACAAGATGGATCCCCGTGTTGACAGCGACCGCGACAACCATGCCCGTCACGAAGCCCTCGGAGGAGCCCAGGGCCCTCACAGCTCCAGCATGGCGAACAAGGCCGACCCCCGCGTTGACAGCGACCGAGGTACATATCCATCCATAGACCACTAATAGCATAGCTAACTCGACGTCTAGACAACCGCGCTGCAGGCGGCTACGCCAGTTCCGGTGTCGGTCCCGGCTACGGAGGAGCAGGCTACAGCGGCGCTGGCACCGGCGCTGGCTACAGTGGAGGCGCAGGCGACTACACCACCAGCGGCGGCTACGGAGGCAGCAGCAACGCCGGTCCCCATGGCTCCAACATGGCCAACAAGATGGATCCCCGGATCGACTCGGACATGGACAACCGTGCCCGTCACCAGGGACTCGCCAGCAGCAGCTACAACGCCCCCGGCCAGAGCACCGCCGGCCCCCACGGCTCCGACATGGCCAACAAGCTCGACCCCCGCGTCGACTCCGACCTCGACAACCGGGGCACTCTGGGGACCCAGCGTGGGTTTTGAGGGCCTCGTTGAACTCCGCGAAGAAGTTTACTAGAGAAGAAACACTATTTCGGGGAAAGATAATGATTGATTGAGTGGGGGTTTCACGCTGTTACGACATGCCCTCCTAAGGGATACGAAAGATGTTGAATCGAGATTTGATACCAGCGTTTCTTTGCTTGTGTACTTTACCAGATTGATGGATAATCTACATGCCATTATACTCATATTTCTGTTTACCAACATAATATTCAGTAGATTTAAGTAGGTATGATATCGCGACTCTGCAGAAAAAGTCCTACCGAATACTCTTTGCCATGGCTACTATCACCGCCTCCGCCTTTCCTTTATAGAGCCTTCCATTAGAGGACCTAACAGGTTAAGAACGAGAGTGGAAAAAATATCAGTAATCATTGAACAAGATCACCTAGTCGTCATCCAATCCGTACTTTCATGCGTAATTAAGTATTTACTTCACATTCCATTGTATTTTGTCTTGAATAGTTACTTATTATTCAGATGTCAATCAACACAACGATCAAGTTTTGATTACGCTGTGTAAACCGGTACCGTCTCGTACTCTCCCAAACATAAAGGAGACAATAAGATACCTTGCATTCTTGAATAACTTAGAAATTTTTGTGGGTGCATAAACGAGGCCAGCCACTAGGAACCTTCAGGACCAAGAAAGTGAAAGTCATTTCACCTTTGGGTTCATACTTCGGTAATATGATAGATAGTATACTGTACATCGCGTACACTCGAGCAGCAGAACTTCGGGAACGTGTCGTTCCAGGTAATTAATAGTAAGTATATCAAGCCTAGCCTTCCCAGGGATTTATACAACCTCCATATTATAGTAATGATCTCGTCGTTCACTGCCGTGATCTTCGAGGCTATGGTCTCCCATTAGTAGAATATTGGTGTAAGTGCGAGTTTCATCGGTTGTTGGGAGTCGGGAAGGTTGGGATAGCTACTGGTTTCTTTTTACATGGTGAATAGAGTAGGAGTCGACGGAAGGAATGTTGGTAATATAGAGGATGTCTGTATGGAAGGAAAGTAAACCGGAAAGAAAGATAGAAAGCAGTGTCTATGCTCTGGTCATGTGATGTTTAAACTTGATAGGTATCCTCGCCTAGATTGAGTTTCCTGGGGTATAGATAGCATTCGGAAATGGTAGGATGAATAATGGTGGCTTGTATTCGAGAAGTCGATCTAAAATGTGGAGGTTAGGAATAAGAGAGAGACGGGAAACTGTGAGAACACCAAGAGGGGATGGACCGGTGTGGATCATAGATAGTCGTAGGTGGAACGAGGTGCTGAAGTAGGACCATCAAGGTGACCAACGGTAGTCATCTTTAGTTGTAGTACACAGGATGGTTGGGTGGCACAGCATGTGGGGATATAATTAACCCGGAGGGTTGGACAGCTGCGGCATATGCATCGTCACGGGATTGGGTCGTCTGTGTAACCTTCAGGGATGATTTATAAGGATGATCGTTCAACGGAAATGATATGTATAGCTGGTATGTACATCTCACCCATGAGCGCCAACATAGAAGCGTGTCGACCGAGAAAAAGCAGCAGGCCCCAGGCCATCAGACACACCGCATCCACCATCGCAAACGCCAAACCGGGTCGCTTCCAGACCCTCGTGTATTCTAGCTGGTCGTTCGAAGTCATGGCAGTCCGCTGCAGAATGGCGAAGAGCCAGTGCCGAACGGATAAAGTGAGAAAGGATGCTGCAAATGGGTATAAGGTATGTGCAGGGGGAGGGAGAAAACCACAACGCAATGCTCGATGCTAACAATATGACATAAGAAAACGGCTCGCGAATGCTGGAAACGAAAGCAAACGGCAATAATAGGAAATGCATATATAAAGATGGTCCAGAGGACTGTATGCAAGGGACTGTCCAGCTCTAGGTTGGAGTGGATTGTGCAGATGCAACGAATCGTATTGTTGAAGCAGCTTATCCAAAAGCTGAGATCATAGCTTCGCTCAAGGCATTGCGGCCCGGCCGTCGAGGGCCAGAGGGCCCGAATCGTTCAAGGGTGTCAGAGGATTATCCTCGGACGATTCCGACCGAACAGGAGTATCCGCGCGCAGGAGTGACTGCCGGGTTGGGAGAGCATTAGGGGACTGGGTTAACGACTGCCAACCAGGTATGTCATTGCCGGCACTGGGAGGAACGGCATCATTATTCGAAGTGGGAGGGGGTGGACGCCGCGCAGCCTCCGACGCATCCATATCATGAAGACGCATGCTCTCGATATTGGCGGCCAGACCCGCTTCAACCGGCAGGCTGCCCTGGCGAGGTTCGTCGCCAGTGGGAACGGGTTCGGCCTCTAGCTGGGGGGAAGTTGTTCCCGACCGCGATGCCTCGGAAGAATCCCGCTTGTCCTCCGGAGTGGCTTTGTTGACTTCCTCCTCGTCAAAATCATTCGTATCATCGACTTCGGCGCTTAAATCGGTGTAGGCGCGGCAGTTGGGACATTGGAACATGGGATAGTCGGGCGTGTGAATGAGGCGACTGACACATTTATAATGCCAGACGTGGGCGCAGGCCGCCATGAACAAACACTGATAAGGCCGCTTCACAACATTAGCATCGTGTGTGCAGGTGCAGCCGGAGAAGGGGAACAAACCAGAACTGAGCCCAGACAGATGGAGCATTCCCGACAACCCGAGTAATCCGCCGTATCTCCCTTGCCCAGATTCTTTATGAGACTCTCGGTGTTTTTACTGTCATTCATTAGCCAGCATTCCGCAAACCACCTCGACATAAGGATTCATACTTGAACTCGTTCGGCTGCTGCTGCCAGGACCGGTTGCACTCGATCCGTATGCGGACGCAGCGAAAGATCATCTCCTCCCCTCCCCTGAAGTCGATACCAAGCTGCACAATATCGCCATCCTTCACAGTGTACAGCCGAGACGGCATGTTCGGCTGGCTCAATCGCATGTGGTTCAGAAACGTGCCCGACGAGCTCCCGACATCCTTGATATGCCACTGGCCGTTCAAGTATAAGAACTCGCAATGTTTCCGACTCACGACCTTCGACTTGAACCCGACCGGGGCATCAGAGGGATCGGTTGGATTGGCGACCGGTAGCCCATCCCGTTCGGAGTATCGTCCCACGCGGATGATGCAGCTGTCGGATGGGAGCGTTCGCGAGACGGGAATAAAGGGCAGGGACGGTCGGGAGCTCTGGTGGGTGTCTTGATGCGGGAAAAAGCGGATGGTCGCCTTCTGCTTCGGTCGCGGGGACGACGTCGACGGGTTCTCCGACATCACCGGGTCAGAGGAGTCGAGCGCTCCGGCATGGAGGTGGGCTGATGCGGAGGGACTGGTCCCTTCCAGGTCAGGCCTCGCATTCAGGGCTTGGGATGATCCTCGGGGCCGCGCCATCGTTCCTTGCGTCTCACTGCCACCAGTCTCGTTGGAGGGGGATGAACTGGGGGTTTCAGACTGGCGGGAAGGACGCAGATCGATCTCGAGACCGCGATAGCTGGGGAATAAGACCGAACTATAGCGGGCGAGGGTGGATGGTGGCTCACTTTCGGGGCATGGGCCCGAGGTGCGAGACCCCACAGGCGACAGTTGCTGGGAGGAATCCGGGCCGGTGGAGGCGGGAGAAAACCACGAGACTCGACTGCTCAGGGTATGCCGGCGCGACAACCGAGTGCCGCTGGAGGAAGAGGAGGACGAGGGTTGGGAAGAAGAGAAATGCTGCTGGGTGTAGGCACGCAGTTGGCTCAGGCGACGGAGGGGTCCTGAGCGAGCGTCGGATGGGAGGTTGGAGGAGGCGGAGGCGGAAACGGACGCAGACATGAGTTTGGATTGGCGGTTGGCGCTTGCTCTTCAACGTACGTTAGTGATTCCCTCGTTGTTTTTACCCGGCGACTCCCCAGGCGCTTTTTATCGCTCGCTCGGTCGCGTTAGCTGATCGAGGTTCTCGATGCTTGTTCTTATCGCAAAGGGCCTAGTAATTAGAAAAAAGATACGAACTCGGTCGCTGTCACTGTCACTGCCTGAGATCGTCGCGACAGCCTTAAATTGGGGGGGTTTTTTTTTTTTCTTCTCGTTCCTCAGATTCTTTCCGATCGGTCGGGGAGTGGATGATGTTTAGAGTTGCCGGTCGATTCGGCGCATCGCAATGGTTCGAGTTGGTGGAGCCGGAGGCAAATTGGGTCCTTTTGGTTCTCAGAGACGGCCAAGTCTGGGAATCACGGCAGGCGATCAGGGTCAGGGAAAGAAAAAGTGATCCAGGATGCCAAGGGGAGGGAGAGAAAAGGGAGAAAACCACCAACAAGAGAGGAGAAATGAGAAGGGCTGTTGGGAGCGTCGCTCTCCCTGTGCTGGAATGCCGGAAAAGGATGGCCACCATGCGAGTCAGATGGTAAGATCCTTTCCCAGTGGGGCGTGTGGAATGTGCACTACGTACGACGAGGCCAAAGAGGGCGACTAGATTGATACAATAGTTCCTGGGACCGTCGCATCGCACCATGTCGACTGCATCCCGAACTCCATCCACGGCGGAGCGGCGAATTACGCTGCTGGGCCCCCTTCGAATTATTAGTTGGGAGAGCCTGCCTGCCTGCGCCCCGAAACACCCCCAACCATGGATGCTCGCGGGCGAAGATTCCACTGGGCTTCCATTGTCGTCACCCACTTTCGGTGATTTAAACGCAAGGTACTACCGAGTACTCCATACGATGTATAAATTAGGATCCTCTTACTTCAGCCTTCTTCAACCCCCCCGGGCTGAGGTAATCCATACGAAACATGGAACACCGTTTCTGCAGGCTTATCCTGGAGCCGCTGTCTGACGGTGGCAATCCTTCCTCGGCCTCCCCAAGAATGCCGGTTCTGCATGGAGACCAGGATGCCCAGTAGATAGTCCTACGGAGGAGATGCTCGTACGACCCCGTCCGGCCGGGCGCACGAGGGGCGGATCGATCCTAAGCATCCAGAATGATAGATATCAAGCATGCTATGGACCAGGATCTCCTGGGCTCCTCCGCACTGGCTGCCTGTTTAGCTTTGCGGGGCAGAAGGGCTGCACGCCGGAACTGCTGACTGTCAGCCTCTAAGACCTCCGAATGGCTCTCTGAATGGCCACGGTCTGTTTCTGGTGGCCAGTGATTGGCATCGGATCATGGGCCCGGGCCCCCATGTGATGCAGCCATCCTCGCCGGTGCAAAGGGGGTCGTCTCACGTGGGCTCCGTGGCAACGCTCCCTATGGCTCGTAGAGACGAGGGCTGCGTTCAGTAGGTAATGTTCGGTTTCAACGCACTCGCAGGAGGATGGATGCAGGGGCAAAATGCAATGCATCCAGCTCGTCTCATACCAGAGGCGACGGGGCCGGTTGTTCCCGTGAACAGACTTCAGATGAATGGCATTCAATTGCCTTTGGGTCTTGACTCTGAGCTCGGTACCTTGATCGAGCCATTGGCATGCCGCTAGGGAAGGATTGACTGGGTTGACAGGTGATTGATTGACCCAAAATAGTCTCCCCACGCTCCGCCAGGATGATCATGCCTCCGCTGTCCGGTGATCATGTCGCGTCACTATCCAGTCCACAGTCCACAGTCCATCGTCCCTTGGAAATTCACCCTAGGTAAATTGGGCAACGTCTTCTAGAACGGAGTTTATACTACGGCAACCCCTCCTATCCTTGTCCTGCGAGCCTTTCATTCATGCAGGCAGCTTTCTTGCTTCTTCTCATCCTGCAGTAGACGGAAGCTTAAGGGTGGTGAGTGACCCGCAGGGGGGCACTGGGGTGCCAGCCGTGCTCTATCAAAGCCTGGACAAAGTTCAGCGTCTATCAACTCGCATCACCCGTGGCAACTGGCAACTGGCAACTGGCAACTGGCAAATGGCATCTGGTAGTTGGCAACCGATGGTCCTTGTGTTTGCTTAAATCTACGGTGTAGACAGTAGTGGTCTTTAGCTTCCGAGGTGGAACCGGGGGAGGGTTGTCCCCATGATGTTGATGTTGATGTTGATGATGATGACGATGGGGTTGGCCGATCGGGAGAGATTGCGATCGTGTCTTGGGATGCGCGAAATGACACCCCTTCTGCACGAGGGGAGCATTAACCACCGAACTAGTTTCATGATCCTGGTCGGCACCAGCGGAATGTGGCTGGGAGAGGGAGGTGAGGCCGCAAGAGAGCTTCCCAATAACGGACACTACTAGCGGTGCCAGTGGGGCCGAGGGAGAAAGCATGACGACGGAGAGAGCACGATTAGCTGGGACAAGATAAACAACCGGGATGGGGACGGGGACAGAGACCCCATTGATAACAACGGCGGTGACGGAGCATCCACCATTAGGTTCGATGGCATGTATGTAGTATCAAGCCTCACAGGTGGGATCTCCACGAGGAGCCCAACGATGAATAATGCCATCACCTAAGCGCATGAAGCCATTCAATCGCAGATTTGCAGCGCAGCATGATGGTGGAGCTTTGGTTCATGGGGGTCACCACTTAAGTTTACTAAGGGCTACTAAGTAAGCTCCCTGCCTTTGGGCGCGTTATCATTTGCCCGCCCGGCTCGCTCCAAGGCGTGCTGCTGCTGGCTCACCACCTCGTCCAGCATCACCTCCTGCGATGAACCATCATCGAGTCGACCTCCTCCCGCCGTCCGCAATCTCCCTCCCACCCCTGTCCGCCCGCCCTCCTCCATTGACCATCACTTCTTCCCTCTCTCCGACCGGGCTCGTTGTCGGTTATTAGACTGGACTCAGATAAACGAGCCAAGCTGCTAGGAAATCGGGACGCGAAGGAAGCTAGCTACTGTCGTCTTCCATCACCACCTCCCTCCCTCCCCTAGTCCAAGTCTTCCTCCTCCTCCTCCTTCTCTACTATCCCATCTCTTGCTGTCACGCGCCCGGCCTTGTGTTCCCGCCGCTCCCTTTGCAGAGCCTCCCCCCTCGTCCCCTTCTTTGTGCCAGCGCCATTCGGTCCTTCCTCCTCTGCCCTTCATTTCCCGACCGCCCAGCCACGCCTTTCCGCCTTCGCTGCAGCCTTTGTTGAATGGAATAAGGGAAGCGACAAGCTTGCTGAACAATTCAAGCTAATCACCCTCTCCACTCCTCTTCTTCCTTCATCCGGCGTTTCTCCGCCACCCTTTGCCTTCCTAGTCAACCCTGGCGGGGCCGTCTTCTGGTCCTGCGGGCCTCCCATTCTGAAGGCATGAGCGGAATTACAAGTGCGTGTCTGTCCTGTCTGTCGACAGTCGACCGTTGGTGCCATATCTCAGCCTGTATCGGCCCGATCGGTGGCCGCTCGAGGGATGGAATTTATGAGACCACACTGGCAGACAACGAGCGCGAAGCAGTCTCCGATCTCTTAGGGTACCTTGAAAACGTACGTTCCATTCTCTCGCACGCTCTAGGGCTTCTCCATCTGCCATTGCATTCCCCCTCGTTCCGTGCTCACTTGTATGTCATCCTAGAGGACCGAGACCGACTTCTTCGCCGGTGAACCCCTTCGGGCCTTAAGCACGCTGGTGTATTCAGACAATGTCGATCTTCAACGGAGCGCCAGTCTGACGTTCGCTGAGATCACAGAGAGAGGTGCGTCTGAAGCAGGCCCAACCTAATGTCGCCGGGACTAACAGCGGGGGTGATTACAGATGTGCGCGAGGTTGACCGGGACACACTGGAGCCGATCCTCTTCTTATTGCAGAGTTCGGATATCGAAGTTCAACGTGCTGCCAGTGCAGCTCTAGGCAACCTAGCTGTAAATGGTCGGTCTTACTTCCGTGCCCCCACCATTTCGATTGCTGACCGGTCGCAGCGGACAATAAAGTGCTGATCGTTGCTTTGGGGGGACTGGCTCCTCTGATACGGCAGATGATGTCACCGAATGTCGAGGTCCAATGCAACGCGGTCGGTTGCATCACGAATTTGGCTACACATGAGGACAACAAGGCCAAGATCGCTCGATCAGGTGCTTTGGGTCCATTGATTCGTCTTGCCAGGTCCAAGGACATGCGAGTACAGCGTAATGCGACAGGCGCGCTGCTGAATATGACACATTCGGGTAGGTCTTGTAGTATCCGAATCCATGGTGCTGTTTGTCCTAACAATGGGATGCTTAGATGATAACCGACAACAACTTGTCAACGCCGGCGCGATCCCTGTCCTTGTCCAGTTACTCTCCTCTCCCGATGTTGATGTACAATACTATTGCACAACTGCCCTCAGCAACATCGCTGTCGACTCGTCAAATCGCAAAAGACTGGCTCAAACAGAGTCGCGGTTGGTGCAGTCGCTAGTGCACCTGATGGACTCATCCACGCCGAAGGTCCAGTGCCAAGCGGCGTTGGCACTACGAAACCTTGCCTCCGACGAGAAATACCAGCTCGAAATTGTTCGAGCCAAGGGACTCCCACCACTACTGCGACTCCTGCAGTCATCTTACCTTCCGCTCATCCTTTCCGCCGTCGCGTGTATCCGCAACATCTCTATCCACCCTTTGAACGAGTCTCCTATTATCGATGCGGGCTTCCTCAAGCCCCTGGTTGACCTTCTGGGCTCGACCGACAATGAGGAAATTCAGTGCCACGCCATTTCCACCTTACGAAATCTAGCTGCAAGCTCCGATCGGAACAAGGAACTGGTCCTTCAAGCCGGTGCCGTTCAGAAGTGCAAGGACTTGGTCCTTCGTGTTCCCCTCAGCGTCCAGTCTGAGATGACTGCTGCGATAGCTGTGCTGGCTCTCAGCGATGAGCTCAAACCACACCTCCTGAATCTTGGTGTCTTTGACGTCCTGATTCCTCTGACAGAGTCGGAGAGTATTGAAGTTCAAGGAAACAGCGCCGCGGCGCTGGGTAATCTCTCATCTAAAGGTATGAACCTACACTTGCAGAGTGAATGCATATATACTGACTGATTGCGCAGTGGGAGACTACTCCATCTTTGTTCGTGACTGGGCGGATCCAAACGGAGGAATTCACGGCTACCTGAACCGATTCCTGGCCAGCGGCGATCCTACGTTCCAGCACATTGCCATCTGGACGCTGCTCCAGCTCTTGGAATCTGAAGATCAAAGACTGATCGGATACATCGCGAAGTCGGACGATGTTGTACAGATGGTGAAGTCGATCTCCGACAAGAGCATCGAATCGGACGAGGAGGACGCTGAAGACGGGGAGGGCGAGGTCATTGCGCTGGCTCGGCGATGCCTCGAGTTTCTTGGGAACGGTCACAAGCAGACCCTGGTAGAAGGTTAATGTATTCCCCTTAACGACGTGCGATTGGCTTCGGACCAACTCCTTTTTCGCTTCCCTATCTATCTTCTACCGACCTATTTTCACCTTCTCTTCTGTTCTTTCCCCTTCTCTTTCTTATCTATAAGTTGAGCCGCCTTGTGTTCCAGTGTTTCGACCCATTGACGTGTATCAGTCAGAGGTGTTCAGCGGGCATTTGATTTGGTGTGTCTTTGCTTCGTGTCAGCGAGCATTCGGTGTGATGGTTGTCCGTGGTCGTCTATAGGATGACGCTGTGCGGACTTCATTGTGTCTGCGCATAATACTGTATTCACGGTTAGAGGATTTCGAGTCTATACTTGCAATACATTGATACCTATGATTAGCCATCGTCGGGTGCTATCCTCGGTACACTGTCCTCGGTACTCCGTGCTCCTCGTAGGATGTACTCCGTCGATGCATGTCATTGGCCCGTGCCCGCTGCCCGGATCAACCGTTGATCCCGGCCGAGCCACCGCCCCTCCCGCCAAAGAAAAGCTTTGCCGGTTGCTCGCGTCCACCACCCAAGCTTGCCTCGTGAGAAGCTCCTCTGTCCCCTCCCTTTCTCATCCCTCTGAACTTTCGGGTCGTAATCCGCCGTGTGGGAATGAGCACTGCCCTCCCAGCTGTGGCCATCCCGGGCCAGCGCCTGGGCTCAATTGCCGCTTATGTCGCAGGCCCTGGTACCCACGTCCAAAATGCCAACATTTATGCCTCCATCGCAGGCCCGGTGGTCGTGGATCCGGCGCAACCCAGCTCCAAAACAAAGTCGGTTTTGAGTGTCTCCCGATCCATCCCCACAAAAGCCGCATCCAGCACAACTGCTCCAGTGAAATCCGCAAGCGCAGGGAAACAGAAACTGAGATACAACACCCTTCCGGCGGTGGACTCGGTCGTCCTGGCGCGGGTGACACGCGTCCAAAAGCGACAGGCCACGGTCTCGATTCTTGTCGTGCTTGACGAATCCGCCAACTCTCAGCCCCTCAACCCCTCGCAAACAGCGTCGGACAATGACAACATCGAGGCGATCCTCTCGTCCGCTGCCAACCCTGAGAACCATAGCAGCTCGGACGAACTTCGCTTCCAAGCGCTTATCCGGAAGGAGGATGTGCGCGCGGTTGAGAAAGACCGTGTCGTGATGGACGAGATGTTCCGGGTGGGAGACATCGTGCGTGGAACGGTCATCTCGCTTGGCGATCAAAGCTTCTACTACATTACGACTGCACGGAATGATCTGGGCGTTGTCATGGCCCGCAGCGACGCTGGTAATATGATGTTCCCTGTGAGCTGGAAGGAGATGAGAGATCCGGTGACGGGGGTTGCGGAACTGAGGAAGGTTGCGCGCCCGTTCTGATCGATGGATGGTCGTCCTCGAAAATCACCCGATTACCATCGTGTTGTTCTATGCAGCGCCAGTTTGCCGCTAAGACGGCTCCATCCTTACAGTCGGCACTCGGGATCCCGGAATGCCTTGAGTGGCTGATACTACTACCCCGGACTCTGATCCTCCCAGCACCGCTTCTCACGCGGCCCGCTCGGGTCTGGCAGAGTCTTACTCGGGATCTCGGATGACACGCTTGCTGCTGAGAGTCCGTCGCGGAAGCGCGGACCCGTCGGACCGACAAGCGAACAAATCACGACTTAATGACTGTACATATCTTTAGTAGCAGTCGATGTGCTCCCACATCATTGGCTACAACCATACCATACCTGCAGAACCAGCAGCATATCCTGTGCATCTGCGGCTCCTCTCTTACAGGGTTTCCTGACAGGATCCAAATAAACTTTATTCACTCACTCTTCCCTTCCCTCTTTCCTTCCCTATCACCAGATATACAACGATATCTTCGTTATCCCTCCTAAGTATCCATGGCTTTGGTCCTTTCCATACTAAGCTGTGTTTGTCATCGGAGGAAGATGAACGTTTACGGCGCGGAGGTCTACTCACCTTCGCGACCCTTGTTAGAGCTCCCCTGTTTTTTTGTCTCGTGGATAAGGGGAGTATTTTTTACTCGGGCATATACATATACGCATAGACTCGTAGTAATTGAACACAATATCTATGGATACGGCTTAAGATCGGGTTCTGGGATATAGTAACTGTCAATGCTAGAATTAGTTGATTTCATCGGAGTGAATGATTCTAGATTATATACTGGTCGTAATTCACAATGAATTGGAATAGGCAAATCATATTCCTTTAATATACTTATATCAAAAGACAGTCTGAGTTTTATACTATCATTGTCATCATAGAAAGAAGTAATGATTTAATGGTCCGGAAGGATACGTGAATGTGTCACATCATGTGGTTGAGGTTAATCGTTGTACTCCGTACGAATTCACGAGATTGAAATGGTCAGTTGTTTGATTCTGTGCTTTTATGGTCTAATCACCAAGATCAGATCAGGTCCGTCGGATCCAAATCAACTGTGCAAAATACAATACGCAAGTACTCTACATGTGAAACATCATGAACATGATAAACGTAAAAATAAACATCTATATCCGGTTCATATAAACAACCCCCACCCACTCACTTCCTTCCCTCCTTTTTATTTTCATTCCCTTTCCACCATGAGAACCATGCAAAAACCAACCCCACCCGATAAATACACGAGGTAATCTACTTCTTCAACGTCTTCTGCTTCTCGGCATCAATCAACTTCCGACCCTGCACCACCAACCCCTTCCTCCTCCGTACAGCATCCATATACCTCTTCGCGACATTCTCGCGATCCGCCAACTCGCCCAGATCCTCCAACTCCTCTTCCGTGGCCGGCACCCAGAACGGATCCTCGTCTAGGGCTTCGAAGCCCGCGAAGATAAGTTGTGGTTGTGCGGCACCGGACGTCCGTTTGCGTATTTCTTCGGCGAAGCCGAATGATTCGGCGACGGGGAGGAGAGCCAGGATGGTGAAGAAGGGGGTGCCTTCTTTCATGATTTCGGAGAGGATGCGGCCGCGACGCCGGGTTATGACGCCGTAGACACGGCCCAGGACTTCGGCTGTTGAGGTGGGGAGGGTGGGTTAGTTTTTGGTTGGTGGGAAGGTGGAGGGGAAAGGGGAGGGGAGGGGGGGTAGGACGTACTTGAGGCTTGGATTTCACAACTGTACATGGCGAGCATGATTCGAGGACTCCAGTCTAGGAAGCCTTGCGAGATGCTGTCGCGGACGAGTCGGATGGCTTCGCCGGTCAGACGGCCGAGGTCCAGGTCTTCGTCGCTGGCGTTGACGGACAGGTCTTCCAGGAAGACCGCCACGCCTTGCATCGGTTCCTGGCAGAGCGGGCCTTGGCCGGTGGCCAGTTGGAAAGCATGCGCGATCTTGTCGCAGAAGTCTCGGACGAAGAGGGCTTCGCGGCTGCTGGTGTCTGCGTTGATGGTGGGTTGTTGCTTGGGATCTTCGAGGAGGCTGTTGGGATTAGCAGCTGAGACATTGTTAGGGCTGTTGGGTAGTAATAGCTTACAATTTCTCGCAGGTGTTGACCTCTGTGGCATCGACAAGGATGTTAGGACCAATGCGTCTCGGTCCAAAGGCAGTGATTCGGTCAACGACGTCCTTCCAGAGTCCCTTGTCATCGGTGACTTCTTCGTCGAAGATCTTGCTAAGTTCTTGCTTGAAGTCTTTTAGGGAGAGAGATGTCGATTCGAGGGCCTCGTCTGTGGCGTCGCTGGCTTCGCTCTCGGTGGTGCCATTGGTGGTCTCTTCGCTGGACTGGGCTTCCGCGGCTGTTCTCTTCTCAGTTTGGAGACGCTTGATGGTTCCCACGTGCTTCGAGAAGAACTCCGTTACAGCTGAGGGAAGCGGGACCACGCGGAGGCGCATGGTCAGTTGCTTCGACGGGGAAACGGCCAGGATGCCTCCTCTGCCTAGCTCAGAGTTCTTTGGGGGTGCCATCTCCGGGGCGCTGATGATGGTTTCCCGGTATGGTACAATGGTCTGACCGGTTTGGATTTCGCATCTGGCAAAGCGCTCACGGAGGTCCTTGATGCAACGTTCGAGATGCAGTTCACCAGCGGTCAGAATGACATGCTCGCCGCTGGGAAGGACCTCGTATTGCGCGCAAGGGTCACTTTGTTCAAGGAGGCGGAGGCCAGTGACCATCTTGCTCAGGTCTGCTGGATTCGTCGGCTCCAGGGCAACTCTAACAATCGGTGGTGTGTTGAGTGAGACACCACCCAAGTTGATGCTGCCTTCGAGCTGCGAGGACAGGGTTCCTGTCTTGAGAACGTGGCCTGCGAGACCGCCAATACCAAAGACGACACCGGCAGGCACCGACTGGAGAGGTTCAAGACTCCTGCCCATGAGCAGGTACAGGTCGGTGACAGTCACCTTCCGAGGCTCAGGGCTGGCATGAGGGTTCTCTGGCGAGAACTTGGGCGCGAGAACGTATACAGAATCCCCCACTGAGAGCGTTCCGGAGTAAAGACGTGCGAATCCGACGAGATGTTCGGGATCTTCCTTCTCTTCGTCATCAGCCGTCTGGTTATCGGATAGGGATGTCCGTTCGAACGCCGATGTTATGCGAGAAAAGTCATCAGCCTGGTCACCGTTGGCTTCCGCCTGCATCTTCGCAATCTCCTCTCGCTTCTTGCGAGCAATCTCCCGAGCTTCATCGGCCGACATGGCGGCACCAGCTCGCTTTTTGCTCGACACCAGTTCGCTCTCCGGAATGGCCATCATCTTGCTGACGTAGGCGATGACGGGCTCATCCTTCTCTGTTTTGAAGTTGATCATCGCATCTTTCACTTTTTGGTCCACAAACTGAGAACCGGGGGATTCTTCGATCATTGCTGGCAGTCGAGTTGCTTGAGCAGCGGGCGGGCTAGGAAGATATTCAATAACAGACACCAGGACGGCAGTAGACAAAGGCAGCCACTGCGAGAACAGAGTCGTCATGATGTTCTTCGGATCGCGCGAGCGTAGGATATACGCGGGGATGTTGATGTTCAGGGACTTGGTGATTTTTTCTAACAAAGCCGGGTCGCTGTCGCATGTTAGCAAGAGAACAGAGCGAATTCACAATCCGTCATACCCTTTTCCTGTTCCTGCACCAGTTGTAGCCTCGTATGCCGCCCAGATGCTGTCCAGCACAAGCTGAACGAACATGGGCTTCAAAGCACGGCCTTTCAGGTGCTTCTGACCTAGGACTCGTTTTGTCTTCGGATCAAGATAGTAATCTCCCCAGAGAACCTTCTCGAGGATAGCGCGCTTGATTCCAAGTTTCCTTTCGTAAATTACCGCAAACTGACGGATAGTAAACGCCCAGCCATCGACAGCACTGCAGAAGATAACGTTGTTCTTCTCGGGTGCGAAGTAAAGATCCTCATCATCCCGTTCCTCAAATTCTGCCGTAGGCTCGTCGTTGGAGCGATCCTTGTCGCGAGCAGCAGATGCATTAGCACGCTCTTCCATGCGCTCTCGCCACTGAAGGTCTTCCTCCATCCGTTCACCCTGGTAGAAACTACCGATGACAGCATTGACTTGCTCCAGCAGCTTGCTCATATGGGAGTAGGCCTCGCTAGGGCTCATCTTCAGCTCAGTAACTAGTCTATCAATCTTGTTGATAACCAGGATAGGCTTCAGTTGCTCCACCCAGGTTTGACGCAGCACCGTGACCGTCTGACTGCAGACACCCTCTACGGCATCAACAAGCACCACAGCGCCATCGCAAAGGCGCGAAGCGGTCGACACCTCACTGCTGAAATCGATATGCCCAGGCGAGTCGATCAGGTTGATCAGGTACTCTTTAGGGACCGGCGCAGCGTCAGGAGCAGGACGACGCATCATAGAAAAGAAGAGAGAGATGGCAGAGGACTCCATCGTAATTCCTCGTAGCTGCTCATCTGGACGGGAGTCCAGGTAGCGGATCTTACCCGCCAGCTTTGGTGAGATGATGCCATTGGTGGCGATCAAACTATCCGTCAAGGATGTTTTACCGTGATCCTAGAGGTTTGTGAGCAAGCGAATCGAGAGAAGGCACTAGTGTTCTCCATTAGACCTAGAGAATATACATACAACGTGGGCGAGAATGCAGATCTGGGATTGTAGTTAGCGTTGGCCATCAAAGCGAAGCGGATGGCGGGCATTCGCCATGGAAGTGGGATGGAGGGGTAACTTGCATTCCGTATGTCATCGGGCCTCCGTTGCAGACGGACAAGATCATCCACGTTGACGACAGGCATTTTGAGAGATGTCTGGTGCTGCCACACAGCTCCCAGGGTCCACGAAAAGCCAGGCCTGAAAGTTGCTCTTTTGTTGGTTCCCCGTGCCGCGTGCTGCGGAATAATACGAAGAAAAACTCGTCGTCGGGAAATGTCAAGCTCGAAGGAACCTGGCCTACGGATCCGGAGAACGAGATTCGCACCAGCCCAGGTCGACCCGAAGCGATGGCAAATGTGAGGTTTTTATTACTTGATCTTTGAAGGCTGAATTCCCCGATTATTAATAGCTGCGCTTTAACTATGACTACCAGGTTGCGGGTGTTATAGTCAACCATGTCATCACTCCATGGTATCATCCGAACTGACTAAATAACTACTCGATTCTGAAGATTGAACTAAGTCGGAGAGATGATACAGAGTCTCATCCCTGGCGATGATAGGGTATAGTGCTAGTATAGGGTTAAATGACTCAAATCCTGTCATTATGAGTCATCAAACGAGAGCTTGATCTTCTTCTTTTTTGTCTTGGGTCTTGGTTTCCGAGTGTCTGGCTCTTTTTGTTGTGCCTCCTCAGCCTCTTCAGTAGTATTCTCTTCTCCGACTACCTTGCCCTGCTTTCTTTTCCGTGGTCCTCCTATTTCTGCCAGGTTTTGTTTCGAGATCGGAGCATCCGCTTCGGTTTTCGCATTCGGTTTACCGTCTTCGCCAGTGCCAGACTGTTCTGGATCCTTTTTAGCGTCCTCGTCTTCCTTATCATCTTCTCCGCGGACTAATGCTTCATATTCTTCCTTGGAGATAATCTCATTGCTCTCCTCATCAACGTAGGTAGGACCGTCATCGTCATTATCATCCCTCGGTTTCCGTGGCCGGGCAATTGGTCTCTCGAGACGACCTGAAGTGTTTCCGTATTGGCTTTTGAGTCTCTGTAGGAAAGCGGGCTCCTTTGCATCTGTTTGATCCATTAACTCCGGGCCCATAGGAGGCGAATCTGAAGCAACATACCGTATGCGAGGTCCTTCGATTTGAATGACATGGCTTAATCCGCCGCAGGGTGACTGTCAGCCTATCTATTCTCAAATACAATCAAGAAAATAGGAGGGACTGGTGTTACAGCAGCTCCCGAAGGAGATGTGGGTTGTATAGTAGGCGCTTCTTCGTAGAATGGAGATATAGGAATTGGAACAGCTCATGCGCTATGCATTATTATGAATTACCCTGCCTGCTGTTGACAGGTTGGATCAACAATGGTGCCTTGAAGCTACAGCCGTGAAGCAGTGATGACATCGATGAATGTTATAGAAGAGGTTGGCTGGCCGCCAAGCCATCCGCACTTTGCGGTGCGGCTAATCCAGATCGGGCGAGGTCGAAAAGTCCAGAGGAGCCGCAAGCTTCGCGTCGAACCAACCTCCTCCCCCATCAACCAACCCACATCAGATACAATGCTTTGCGCAAGTAAGTGTTGCAATGGAGCCGTCTTATAGTCCCGGTTACTGATGATGAATGTGCAACAGTCTCGGGAGAGGCACCACAAGTGCCCGTCGTCTCGCCCAAGAGCGGTATGTTACCACCTCGAGAGCACCGCAGCGACGTAATGAGGCTAATGCCCGCCTAGGGAGCGTTTTCGAAAAGCGCCTCATCGAAGCGTATATCGCCGAGAATGGAAAGGACCCCGTGAACGGAGAGGAGCTCTCTACAGACGACCTCCTTGAGATCAAGTCCCAGCGTGTCGTTCGGCCCAGACCCCCCACCCTTACATCGATTCCTTCGTTGCTCAGTGTTTTCCAAGAAGAATGGGACGCTCTGGCTCTCGAGACCTACACATTGCGACAGACCTTGGCACAAACACGACAGGAACTCAGCTCCGCGCTCTACCAGCACGATGCCGCCGTGCGGGTGATTGCTCGATTGACGAAGGAGAGAGACGAGGCCCGTGATGCGCTATCTAAGGTTACTGTCGGTGCCAGGAGCGCCGCTGCCGCTTCTGGCGATGCTATGCAAGTTGATGCGACCGGTCTGCCTGAAGCAGTCCTGGCACGCGTGGAGAGCACACAGGCATCGTAAGTCGCTTCAGCTATCCCTTTTGGCCTATCTAACCATCTACAGCCTGTCTAAGACACGTCGCAAGCGTCCTGTTCCGGAAGGTTGGGCTACAAGCGAAGCCATTTCCACATACAAGCCTTCGGAGAGCACCGAGGCTCTTTACCCGGGCAGCAAGGCATTGGCTGTCAATCCATCCGGAGAGCTGGCACTGATTGGCGGCGCAGACGGAGCTGTTGGTGTCTATTCGATCTCCCAGAAGCAGGTCATCCAAAACTTGCAGGCGAGTGGGCCTGTCACCGATGCCGCCTGGGCGGGCGAGAAGGCTATCGTGGCCTCGTCTACAGGCTCCGTCAAGGTCTTTGAGAACGGAAATGAAGTCGCAAACTTTAACTCCCACGCCGGAGCTGCAACGGCGCTTGCCGTGCATGCCACTGGCGACATCGTCGCCTCGGTTGGCGCTGACAAGAGCTATGTCCTGTATGACCTGACGACGAACTCGGTCATTACTCAGATCTTCAGCGACGCATGTAAGCAGCCCTCAGATAAACCGCCTGTTGGGACCTTTCTAACGTTAACTTCTCCCATTTAGCTCTTCTTTCCGTAAAGATTCACCCTGATGGTCACCTGGTTGCCGCCGGTGGCGTGGACGGACAAATCAAGATCTTCGACATCAAAACCGGTGCGTCGGCCGCCAGCTTCGCCATGTCCGGGCCTGTGAAGTCTCTGTTCTTCTCCGAAAACGGTGTGTTCTTGGCCGCGGTCACCGAAAACTCAACCACCGTGTCCATTTGGGATCTCCGCAGTGCACAGGAGACCAAGGTCCTGGAGACGGGCGGCCCGGTCGACTCTATCAACTGGGATTACACCGGCCAGTTTCTCCTTACAGCCGGCCCTAGCGGCGTGACGGTGCACCAGTATGTCAAGGCATCCAAATTGTGGTCGGAGCCCTTGCGCAGCGCGGTGCCCGCGGTTGCGGCGGCTTGGGGCTCTGCTGGCCAGTCTATAGTGGCGTTGAATCGCGAGGGAGGCGTGACGGAACTGACGGCGCAGTAATAATGATACCTTTTAAAATCCCCTCCCATTTGTTGTTCTGTACTTCTAGCTCTCTGTGCTACTTTTGAAATATTTGTGAACGGCGTCTTCGTTTCCTGTCAGGCCAACAACTGGAGAATAAAAGGCAAATGCAGAATAAAGCTCCCGGATTTTCTTGACCATACAATGCCCAGGAACTATGAGTTGTCACTGTCACTGTCACCGGACCTGGCGTGACAATTCACGCACGGAGTGGTTGGTTGACCGCCGCGGGTGCGTTTCGGTTTCACAGTATGGAGTACATATATTTGTTTCTCCCTCTGGAGAACCGAACCACGCCGCCTGACCGGCGTTGCCACGGCTATCCCAGAACGCAGAAAAAAAAAAATAATAACCCTACGAGGCCCTTGCCAAAAGACTCTGAGACATTTGCAGGGTGGCCAGCTGGACAAACCCGGTACCAACAGGACTGGAGGCGAAAGGGAGGCACCGGAGACAATTCGACATGCCACTCCACCGCAGGGCCTCGGACCCAGACCACTTCGTGAACACTACTAAGCATGGCCTCCACCAACCGCAACTGAGGCCTAACTTCGGCTGTTAATCACTACCTCACCTCCCTGTACCAACAAATCGCCCGCCCTTGTCTTCTTCTTCTTTTTCTTCCTCCTCCTCCCAACCGCCTCCTCTCTTCTCCCTTCACCACTCTCATAGCTATACGGCCTGGATCTTCGGCCATGAGCGACGACTCAGGTGTCCTCTTTGTGGGTTCTCGCCCAAGAAAGGTTTGTGTTAAGCCTCCGTCCCACCCCCCTCCCCCCGAATCCCTCAGGGAGGCGGGGTATATCCATGCCAGATCAAGGATTGTAGGTTTCACTAACAGACGAGTCCGACTGCTAGAGAACTCACCGTGAAATGTCCGATACATCTTCCGAGCGCCTATATACCAGTACTTCGTCCTCTTCAAGAACTCCTGGGCCGTCGTTGCCACCGCTTCGGAGGTACCCGGGGGATGGCCTCGATCTCCGTCGGCCGGTTACATCGGCCTCACCGCAGATGGATGAAGTGATTGATTTGACCAACGAACCTGATACCCCCGAACAAACTGCCCAACAGCAACCACCTTTCCCAGCAGAGAGTTCTCGCCGTCCACACTCGCGTCCACGTCCACGTCCACCACGGTTCCCCAGGGACATCCTGACGGAGGTGGTAGATCTGGAGGAAGAATCCGACAATGCCAATCAACCTGATTCCCCGGGCAGCCCCGAAGTCCAATTTGTAGGAGCAACGGTTCTGCGGCCACGGCCACGATTGCAGCCCATGGAACCACAACCGCCGCCGCTGCCCCCTTTTGATCGAATGCCCCCCCGCAACATATGGCGCGACGTGCTGCAACTTCAGACTCCGTTTCATCGACCATTACCTTTTGGCGAGCAGTTTAGACCAGATGTTGCATACAGAGGGTTTCGCAGAACACTTCCTCCGTTGAGTGAAGTGGAGTCCTTGTGGCTCGGCGACGGCCGCGCGGGCGCTATCGACTTGACAATCAACCTGGATGTGGACGGGCCATTAGGTCTGGACTACCAGCTTACGGGCGTGACGCCAGATAGAGGGCCTGCAAACTCTTACAAGCCACCTACTCCGCCACCGGAGGGGTTCACCCGAAACATTGAAGAAGACGATGTTGTTATATGCCCCAACTGTGATCTGGAGCTGGGCATCGGGGACGAAGTAAAGCAGCAGATTTGGGTAGTGAAGCAATGCGGACATGTATGTGGTTCTCCGTTCCAGCTTTCCCCATCTTTTTCTGACCCCAATCCTAGGTTTACTGCGGCGAATGCGCCTCTAACCGGTCGCTCTCGAAGGCCAAGAAAAACACATCGAAGACGAAGGCTTTCTCTAAATGCCAGGTGTTTGGGTGTGGCAAGCCCGTGAGCTCACCCAGGTCGATGTTCCAAATCTACCTGTAACGGAAGATGCTCCCAAATCAGGAGTTCGTATAATAATCGCATGGTGGTGGCGCAAGGCCGGGGGCCTTCTTTATCTATTCTTCTCTTCGCGATCTTCACGATCAGCTATTTCGATACCCTCATTGCATTTGTTTCGGTTGGTTGGGTTTCTGGTCGGGGTTCATTCTTTATATTTATAGCATAGAGTGTTTTGGGTATACGGTGCACGGATGATTTCGGTGGTCCACGTGATTAATGACAACTGCTCGCCAGCAGACGACGGCGCTCCACATCAAGGGGATATCAATGAAGACATTCTGTACATATGATACATATAATTTAACCAAAGACAGAGTCGGGTTCGCAAAAGAAGTACACAAAGAGATGAAGTAGCCCATAATACATCTGACCAGAAAAATAACACCACCGTATGACCGCACCAAAACCCCCATCTTACACCGACTTGAGACCTCCGTGGTACGGGGACCAGATACCTCTGACACTCTCGTTGAGACTGGTGACGGGCTTCTTGGTGCGCTTCAGCTTCTCTCCACTGGCCTCCTTCAACAAGTGGACCTTCTTGACTATTTGCTCCGGCTCCAGATTCCGGACGCAGATCGCCTTCTCCCGTCCATTGACGTAGTGGCCCTTAACGACAGGGTGCTTGTGCGGCCGCGGCGAGACCCGAATCTCGATCTGAGGGTTTGCCTTGGCGAAGGCAGGAAGTTGGTGTTTTAAGTACGACCTATCCCACGCCAAACATTAGCATGATCCCAGACAAAACCTCATCTATCGACCCAGAGAAAACCAGCAACATACAGCATGCCCCGAGAGCTACCAGCCCAGTCACAGTAGTGAAATTCCAACCGCTTGCATTGTAGGATAAAGGCGCCGACGCCGTTCTGAAAAGGTCAGGTCAATGTGAGGTACCACGGCAGGTTGCAAACAATCCCAAAACGCACTCTAGCGGCCGTCACCGAACGGATTCCTTGCACAGGCATTGCTGAAGACTTGTATGAATGGTTCCTTGCGGGGAGGGCGTCGACCAACTTCAACAATCTCGAGGGACAACGTCGGGGACTTTTCAGCGCCGGACTCAATACGGTACTGTCATTGGACACCGCGGCAAGCTCGGCTACGGCGACTAGCGGTTCCAGATCCAGCAGCCAAGAGCAGCACCGGACGGGAACGACGCGAAACTCCCCCCCAACGCTGCTATTACTGCCGGTCGACTCAGACCATCTGCTTTCTTCATCCTCGATGCCGTTGGAGATTCCGAATTAGTCCCTGCATTTTTTTTACTTTAGAGCATCTAAGGCTGAGGGCCCAAGATGACGGACAAGCTCCCCCCTCCACTTCTGGCGCTCTTTCAGCCTCGTCCGCCTCTGCGTTATGTCACGCCCATCGAACGTGCCCCAGAAGATTGCAAGAAAAGTAGCATCGGCGGCATTGCGCAGTTCCTGCCTGAGGTGAAGAAATATGAAGAAGAGCTTCCGTACACGCCCACGGAAAGCTGGATCCAGCGCAAATTGCGCCAGAAGGTTGAGAAAAAGGAGAACTTGGAGAAACAACTGACGGAGGGGCTTGAGACTTGTATGGCGATTGCGACTGTTTTCGTCTACGCGTGTGCTGATGCTGATTTTTTTTTTCCCTCCTGCAGTTGACCCGTCCAACGACCAACAAGCACGAGGCGATCCGTTCAAGACGCTCTTTGTCGCTCGTCTGAGCTACGATGTCAAGGAATCAGACCTGGAACGGGAGTTTGGCCGGTTCGGGCCTATTGAACGGGTATGGTTACAGGCCGAGAGGCTTTCGGTCGCACATAATCACTGACGATTCTCAGATTCGCATCGTGAAAGACACCGTGACGCCAAAGGGCTCGAAGAAATCACACAAGGGATATGCTTTTATTGTGTATGAGCGCGAAAAGGACATGAAAGGTATTGCTGCAGATCTAGTCGCCTGTCACTCTGGATTCAGACTGGTATCGAATTCCCGTGCGTGCTTGATGCTAACCTAGTTCTTCTTGACGATTTCAGCTGCCTACAAAGAGACGGATGGTATCCGCATCAAGGACCGCCGTGTTCTGGTAGATGTGGAGCGCGGTCGTACGGTCAAGGGATGGAAGCCCCGGCGCTTTGGCGGTGGCCTTGGCGGTCGTGGTTACACCAAGGCTTTGCCCTCACGGCCTATCGGCCCCGGCTCATTTAACGCCCCGTCTGGTCCTGGTGGCTATGGAGGTGGATTCCGGGGTGGTTTCGGAGGTGGCCGAGGTGGTTTCAAGGGAGGTTTCCGTAATGACCGTGGCTTTGGAGGACCCCGGGGCGGTATCGGATACCAGGGAGGTCGTAACGGATTCGGTGGTCAAGCTCCCCCCAACGCTCCCTCTGGACCAGGAGGCGGACGGAACGCAGGGTTTGGTGGACCTGGTGGTCCCGGTGGTCCTGGCGGTCCCCCCGGTGGCCCTGGTGGCAGATTTGATCGTGAACCCCGAGGTGCTACCGGCAGCAACCGTGAACCCATCAGGCCCCGGGAAGGCTTTGGTGACCGTGATCGGCGAGACCGCGACCGCGACCGTGACAGTGACCGTCACAGAGACCGTGATAGGGGGGATAGTTATCGCTATCGGGACCGTGACCGTGAACGCGACCGTGATCGTGACAGGTACGGAGGTCGGGGAGACGACTACGGGAGGAAGAGATACCACGAAGATGACTCGTATGATGACCCCCGAGCCAAGAGAAGATACTGAGCCTCCCTCGCAGGAGGATCATCCCATCCCCTTGTTCGGTGACGGTTTGCTGGTGGGTATTCTTGGTTTGATCCTCTTCTCTTGTTATATCCTGTTGCAGCAATGGGTAAGGCAAGGTCAACAAAGGCTCAAGCTCCGTGCCATTGGACTTCAACCACCAATTACTCACCACAGTTGAAGTGCGCCGCGTCTTTCCTACGTAATGCTGGTCACGATCTCTCAATCCACCCATGGAACACATACTATCCCTCCAAGGTCGATTTCCCCGTCGCGGCAGACGCTCTGCTGCGACCCCTCGTCCCTTGTCTGCTCTCTCTTCTCTTCTTGTCTTTGTTACTCGTGTCCTTTTCGTCTTCGTGTCGTTTGGCCCGTGTGCGGCCGCTACTCTCTCCGGGGTAAGTATGTACTTTAGATAGTTCATTTTCTCTTCAGGCGGTAACTTCTGGTCGGGATCGGGGACGTCCAGGTAAGAAGATCAGGTAGGGTTTTACCCCATAGCAATGACCGATTGCCAGGGATCTTCGGACGGCAGTAAATGAAGGTAATGATTATATCCAGACCGTGTAAATATTTCATCATCAAGATATGTAGCCAAGGAGTCATAGGAAGAGATGTATTTCTATTGTAGCTTTTTCGGATTGGTATTCATATCGGTATGTCCGTCATACGCTCATCAAGCAGAATATATACCGAATCAGATGAACAGAACAGAAAGAATGAAGCAACAACAAAAACGCCATGCCCAACTCCAAAGATGCCCAGGGGATCTCATCACATCAAAGGGGTGTAAAATACCAACAGCCCCCTCCCTTCTCTTTATACGAAAAAAGAGAAAAAGAGAGGAATCGAAACTTTTCAACGAGACGACGCAATGGGGGGAGAACCCAACCCATCACTGCCCATCAACCTCCATACCACTCTGCTCCTTCTTCTCAAGGATCTTGACCTCCCCGGACTCCCTCGTCCAATACGCCTTCAAAGCGACATGAAACTCCGCCGTCGCGACCCCAAACATCTTCAACAACGTCGTCTGTCTCGAATCCAACACCTCCCCCTCCCGACAAACAGGATATCCCTCCTGTCCCTCCGTCAACTCCAACATCACCTTACCCTTAACCAACCGCGTCGGCACGCCCAGTTTCCGCAACTCCGGCTCGAGCGTGTGGCTGACGGGCTCGTCCTCGGCAGCGGGGATCTCCCCACCCCGGGAGCAGACCAGGCCGTTGGGGATGGTGAAGGCACGGGTGCTCACGGTGCCGGCGCGAGCGAAGTCCAGAGGCCGGAATGACTCGAAGTAGTCGGTCACGGAGTCGGGGGTGCGGGACGTGAAGAGGAGTCCGACGGCGCCGGTCAGGTACGGGCTGAGGACGTGGAGGTTCGGCGCGGCTTCGTTTTCGGGGTTGTGGCCGAGGGCTACGGCCATGACTTTGGTTTTGCCGAAGAAGAGACTAAATTTGATGTATGTTAGTTTAGATGGTTGTTGGATGTATGTGTTTGAGGGCATCGGGGGTGATATTGGCGGGGGTAGAGGGGGAAGAGGGAAGACTAACCGGCTGTCGGCGAACTCAGTGCGCACATCCTTCAGATAGGTGTTGCGCATGTTATCAACGGCAAAGACGAACAAATGGTCATATTTCTCAATGGCTTCCCGGATGTTGGCGTACAGGCGACGGGTCTGTTCCTTGTGGGACTTTTTGGCCGTCTTGGACTCGTGGACGATGCGGGCACGCTTGGAGCGAGGCATGGTGAATTAGTGGATATTTGGTGGTAGACTAAAAGTCCGACGGATGGGATAGACGTGGGCGATGGCTGATGGAGGAGAAGAGAAAAAGAGGTCGAAGATAATGCAAAGGCCGGCGCGGGAAATTGTGGATTCGAGATCCAATGATTTTTTTTCTTTGCGGCTGTCGATAACGCCCGGATTATCGTTGTCGCGGGGCTTATCCGGCTCCGGACGGCCCTAGGCTGCTTCGGGCAATGAGCTGATCGGCTTCAATGCCGCCGGGCATCTCCGCCATACTTCATCTTCCCCTCTTGCTTTCTCGCCGGCTACCGTATTGTGGGTGGCTGTTGATGGATTGGATGGGTGACGCTGTTTGACTATTATTTGCTGGGATATTTCCAGTCCGACAATGCTTGATTTCATGGATTACATCCAACTCGCCTTCGCCGAGGCGACGAATTGGAACCGCGACAATTCATACTCGTCTCTCACGGCCACGGCTCAGTGTATGTATACCAGTCGCATTGCTCGGTCGAAATGTGAACATGCACTAACTTTCTCCATCAGCCCTCCTCGACTTCTCTACCCCGGAGCGTCTCCGCGTCCATCTCTCGTCCCTATCCACTCCGCACTTCGCGACGAGTTACACCCTCGGCACCGTCGGCCTGATCGATGGCTCAGTCTCCTACCTCTTCAGCACCGTCCCTCTCGACCATTCCCCCAGCAAAAGTGCTCTGATCCCCCTGCGCAAGCTCTCCCCGGGTTACCGCCAAGTCCAAGCCCCCATAGCCCCAATCGAGGACCTCACCGCCGAGTCCATCCTCCACGACCTCAACAATGACCCCTACCATGTGCCAATCGGCAAGAAGGCGACCCTCTTCCACGCAACCCTTCACCTCCCTCCCCCGACCACCCTCAACGCCCTCTTCCTACGCCGCATCTCTCCCACCATGCAGCTCTCCCTCGCCGTCTGCTCGACCCGAGGCCCACTCCTCTCCAAATCCGCCCCGCAGGCCTCCCTCCTGACCCAACTCTCCCATAACACCGGCAAATACAGCAACGAGTACCTCTTCAGCACTGATAACGCCCTCTTCGGGTGGCGCGGACTATGGAACTTTGGCCCCGACCCGCGCGATGGCCCGTCATCGTCCCCGCGTCTCTCCCTCCTCTCCGCCGGCGCAGAAGCATACTACTCCCCCATATCCTCACTCATCGGCATGTCCACCGGCCTGCGATTCAGTACCCTCCCCGCAGCAACAGACCTCCCTTCTTCACAATCCACCTCCACCTCCACCTCTCCACCCCCCAACCAACCCAACAACACCCCCATCTCCACCTTCCCCTACACCCTAACCCTAACCCTGACTCCCGTAACGGGCTCCCTCTCAACCACCTACTCCCTCCGCGCGTCTCCCAACCTGGCCTTCAGCTCCCGCTTCGGCTTCAACGTCTACAGCTGGGAAAGCGAAATGGTAGCGGGCTGCGAACTCTGGCGCAAGAGTAAGCGGAGCCCGGATGACGATGGGCTGGAATGGGCGCGACGGAAGATGCGCGAGAGCATGTTTCCGTCGTCTACTGTTTCGCCTCCTCTACCTGAACCGATCAAGGAGGAGGAACAGGAGAATGAATCCGTGTTGAAGATCCGGGTGGATCAGTCGTGGAATGTGCGGTTGTTGTGGGAGGGCCGGGTCAAGGAATTGTTGGTGAGTGCGGGGGTGGGATTGGGGCCGAGTTCGTTTACGTCGTCGTATGCGGCTGCGGCGGGGGCGCAGAGTGGTGGGGGAGGGAGCCTGGGGAAGTCGTATTGGCGGGGAGTGGGGGTTTCGGTGTTGTACTCGTCGTGATTTGGGGTCGGGTTGGATGTGTAAATATGTGTTAACTATGGGATACTACTGCTAAGTAATAAAGTCATCGGGTATAGATAGAGGTTGGTTGCATGTGGGGAGGGAACAGCAAGGTGTTTGCCCTGGTCTGTTGGTATTCAAGTTGATTTATTGGATATATATTCTTTTTATTGCTTATTGGACGGCCAATGCGTCCTTGTTATTTTTTTCATGCTCCGCCGGACCCGACACACACCTGCTGGCATCGAGTCTGGCGGCCGGATAACGGATATCATATCACATGTCCAATCAAATATTGATTGCTTACAGACGAGCGTTGATGATGTCGACGACTACGAAACCGTTAGTGACTGGGACTGCAAGTGCGGGGAAGGAAACATACAGGCAGGCTTCAAGCTGGCACCGCCAACCAGGAAACCGTCAACATCGGCCTCCTTGGCGAGCTCACGGCAGTTCTTCTCGCTGACGGAGCCACCGTAGATGATACGGGTGTTCTCAGAGGCCTCGGCGGAGATAGCCTCGGCGAGCCACTTGCGGATAGCGGCGTGGACCTCCTGGGCCTGGGAGGTCGTGGCGACCTTGCCGGTACCGATGGCCCTGGATAGGGTTAGCGCGCGTGCGACACACCAGCCAATTTGACGAGAAGAAGACTTACCAGACGGGCTCGTAAGCAATGACAACCTGGGCCCACTGCTCCTTGGAAAGCTCCTTGGCAACAGCGTTGAGCTGTCTGGTGACCACATCGATGGTCTTGTTGGCCTCACGCTCCTGTGACTGGCATTAGTCTCCATTCACCCACCGGGTCACCGCGAGCTCGAAGAGGGGTAGTTCGCGGGAAAAAAAAAGTAAGTACAGGGGACCAGGGCCCACATACCTCAAGAGTCTCACCGATGCAGAAGATGACGCTGATGTTACCCTGAATGGCGGCCTTGACCTTGCGGGCAATGAACTAGTGCTGTTAGCAAATTCAAATATGGGGCTGGACAACCGGGGTTGGCATACCTCGTCGGTCTCCTTCAGGATGACACGGCGCTCGCTGTGGCCAATGATAGTCCAGTTGATCTTCGCATCACGGAGCTGCTCGACACTGATTTCACCAGTGAAAGCACCATTGGGCTTGTCGAAGACGTTCTGGGCGGCCACACCGATCTTCTCGTCGGCGGCCTCGCGGGCAGGGAGCAGGTAGAGGGTGGGGGGAGAGATGACGACCTCGGCGGAGGAGTCCAGGTTGGCTCCATTGAGGTTCTTGATGATGGAGGTAATGCTGTCCGCAGTACCGTTCCTGTGGTTGAGCAAGAAAGGAGCTATTGGTTAGCCAGCCAGCTCGTGGGGGAGGCGTCGGGTTGAAGAATCTCGCGGGGTAGACGAGGGTCTCATACATCTTGAAGTTACCACCCACGAAAAATTGGCGAGGCATTTTGAAGAGATGTTTGTGTGAATGGAAGAGACGGGGAGTGTGACGGAAGAGGGGTATTGTGGCAGGTAGTGGGAAGATAGAGAGGGAGGAAGAGAGCAAGAATGAAGCAAAGGAGGAGAGAGAGAAGAAGAGAGGAAGAGGAAGAAGAAGAAGAAGAACCGGAAGGATGAATGACGACGAGGCAGCCGGAGGGGGGGGGGGGCAGAGCAGAGGGGGGCAGAGCAGAGAGGGGCAGCGGCCGCCCACCCGGACGGTCTAATACTTAGTAACTTAGTACTGGATGCCCGCTGGCGGGGCTTATCGATAAGTCACTCGCTGCTGAGCTGGCACTCCCTCCTCCTTCTCTCTCTCCCTACGCTTCTCTTCTCCTCAGTCATCCCCTCTCGGTGTGTTCATTAGGAATGGGCAACTCTCCGCGTGACATCCCAGTTTCATGACATTGCAAAAGAACTCCTAGCGCGGTTGAACGGTAGCTACTGACTTTTGTCTTCTCTAACCCGTACCAGTCCCCTCCATGACGTTATGGTATACCCACTTCGTCCCTTAAGCACCCGAAGAAATACCCGAAAGACACCCCAACAAGGGAAAAACAATGAAGCGACTCCGACCCTCTTTCGGTCACTGGAGATCCTCGGGCATATAGCGTGATCGAGGCGCATAGAATGGCCCCGGCTCGCGCAGGGACAAGCGTCGACCCAGGTAACGTGCCTCATTAAGCCGTTCTTTCTGCTCCAGCATGCGGGCCTGAATTTCCACCATCTGTTCGCGGAGCTCCAGTTGGGCCTCCCGGTCGTCCAGGAGTTGCGTCCGAATATCGTTCCTCGCCCGCCCCCATCGAAATCGCTCGTTTCTCTCGTCCAGAAGCTCCAAATCCAGGTCGTCGGCACTGACAGGCGCATGGATGATCTTGGGCCGGTCCCGGGCCGGCCGTGAAACATCCGGACCGGGGCCACTGTCGGTCCGGGGGTCGACATGCTTACTGTCGGCAGGCACCACATCGATGCAGCCAGTGGGATATCCAGAACGGCCGGACTTATTGTCGGAACCATTCCTCTGGGGCTGCTTTCGATAGTGGGTGCGGTATGGCTTGGTCCTCGGGGTCGAGTGTCGACGATACAGACTGCCTCGCCACGGCTGGGGTTTATCATGCAGCTCGAGTTCATCATCGGAGCTGTCGGTTACGGAGCTCTCATCGTCGAAGTCGAACACTGACTCGTCATCTCCCACGCTGCTAGACTCTACTCCCAACTCCACCTCGGGCTCGGCTGCTGGAGTCACGGGCCTGACGGTCTCGGGCTTGTCCTCCACGGCGGCTGAGGCATTTGGTCTGCCCACAGGATGGGTCTCTGGTTGGTGTGGCGGATTGGGGCGTGGATCAAATACGTGCCTCTGATGCTGCACGCCAGGCGCAATGGGGAATCCCCGAACCCCATTGATCTTTGTCTCCATGTGTGGAGCATTGCCTGAACCGGGCATCCCGGGACCCGACATCCCAGAACCGGGCGCCGTGGGCCCCGAATTCACCGGACCAGACATCGCAGGACCAGACATCGCAGGACCAGACATCGCAGGACCAGACATCGCAGGAC